TTCCGGTATTTCGTAGTAAATGGAGAGCGCCTCATATTACATTTAGGAGGCCCCCTCAGGGCTTCAGGAGGTTTACATACGTCTCTAGTCTGAATGTCAAAACCTCTTGTTTCGCGTATTGAGGAGGAATCTATTTCGCTGTTGGTATATTGCTATTGTCTTTTCGCTTTTCTCTGTCGCTGTCGCAGTTCCAACCCATCTTTGTGTCGCTTGTCACCATTTCTGCTCCATTGTCGCTGTTCAAAGGCTATGTCGATTGTCGGAATTTACCCTAACTGGGTTCCTGCCCTAACAGAACCTTTCCCAGGGACAAACAAAAATGACCGTATCATAAAAACGTCAAATCACTTAATTGTGTCAATTAATCAAGGTTACATGTAGACCTAGATGCTGGAAATGTTGGGTACATCGTATTACTCTTCGTAATTTTGGTTGCCGTATCATAAACAGTTTTATAGTTCATGTTCGGCCGTTATCTATAGAAAACGAAGCGCTTTTATTTTGAAGTGAAATTTTATTTGTCTTTAAAAACGTGAGTGAAAGCGAGCGATGTAGAAAGAAGGATTTGATTAGTACGTACTGAAACTTACTGAGGCGCTCTCTTTTGTAAACATTTGTTCTTAAACAAATAAGCGAATAATTTTGGAACCGCTCGATGGATTTTATTAAAACTGTCAGATTCTCGAGATTAACCTCTTTTTGTATGACCCTGAAGTTTCAAGATTATTGATATCTTGTAAGACAGTAAAGTACGAGGTGCTGCGGCGACCTCAAAGGCTTGACGCGTTTCAGGCAGGGCCTCCTTTTCTCCTCCTCGATCAAGAAGACAAAAGGAGGCTCTGATCGTAGGGTGAAGTCCTCATGATACGAGAGATGATTTTTTTGTTACCATGTAAACTCCTTTCTAAGTTTGGGCTGCCCATCTTCTGTCTCTGGTACAGTCGACTCTGTCTTAACGGAATTTTCTATAAGAAGGGTATCTCAGTGAAACGGACATCTACAGTTGGTCCTGTCCTTTCTCTGGTCCCTTTATTTGACTGTTTAAAAGACGGACACTCAGTGCGCGCCCCAAAGGTGTTCCTCTTAGAAAACGTTGACTGCATGCATGAGGCTCCTACTAGTGTTAATCGTGTTTTGCTGTTGTTGTTGTTGTTTTCTTTGTACTAGTTAAGCAGTTTTGAACCTGCATGGTTAGGAGAAGCTTCTATACGTGAATGATAATACGTTATTTAATGACCAGCTGGGAGAATGCATTTTTAAATCTGACCAGACTTATTGTCTCGACTAGCAGCTTATACCTCACATTCGATAATTAACCTTAAAGGTCTAGATAGGTATAAACCACTTAGCAAATAACGAGGAAATGCCTTTTGAGTGTCTCGGCGTATCGTCTTATAAGGAAGTAAATGTATTGAGATACTGATCAACCACCCTTATAAAAAAAAGTTGCCCGAAAAGATAAATTCAGCCTACCTAAACAACGTAAGCCGGCCATCTCTTCAGTCTCGTTTTTCGCTCTAACAGGTTATCGTTATCGTGATGGGACTTCACATTTTGTTTTCACTTTAATAAGTGTTAGACACTTAGGTGACCTGAAAACAGCGTAAGAGAGCTTTAGCAGTGTTGTCATCAGTCAGATATTTTCTCTGGTCGCGCAAAAAACTTGCATACAACATACATGACCTAAAATAAAGGATCAATAAGACCATATAAATGTGAAAAACAACTGTTTGAGGTAGTTTTCTAATTTTCAGGTCTCCTCTGCTAATTCTTGGGAGCGTGATTCCTTCAGTCTAAAGACTGCTTAATCGTCGATTAAGCGGTATTAAGATGTACCTCGGTAAAAAAAGCTGCAGAATGAAAAGATCTTGTCAAATTAAGTCTAACCGGGAAAATAAAATGATTTACTCCTGAGTTTTACTTTTTTACTACATGTGTGGCTAGATTCTCCGAATATCGGGTACATGTTGGATTGAAAAGTCTGAAACTGGACTTCCAATGTGTGCAAGGTTAGCTATGAGATGTTAACTCTCACATATGTTTTAATTTAAAGCCTGACAGTGTGAGGTTTATTCACTTGACATGCGGAAGTTGGAATGCATGGTTTCACTAAGGGGGGTAGCCTGCGTAGCAGGTGTTAAAAGGGGAAGGGGAAGCAGGAATTCTGGCGCGCGAGGATGTTGAAAACAGGAACCTTTTCCCCTCTTTTCCCATTTTTCCCCCTCCTCGCGCGCCCCTTTGCGCTCTCACGCACTCAATTCCCGCGTTCTCCTTTGCCTTTTAAAGCTGCCACGCAGGCTACACGTAGGGGATTAAGCCCCTCTATTTTTAAGTTGTTTCTAAAAGGTTGCCGTTGGGTACATTGGCTTGCACCTCACACAGACTGGAAGCAAATGTGACGACATGAAGAAAATATAATATCGAAAGTTAACCTTTGGAAAGTGTTAATGTGAAGATTTAGGATTGTTTACTGCTGGTGACCTCTTATGAAACCAACAAGTTGATAACTAATAACTGCTTAGGCTGATGGGGTTTTAGGGTTGGTTCAAAGGACCTGCAGGGACTTAAAGGACATTGATACTATGAAAACACTTTACCGTAGTCTTGTGAGACCTTTATTAGAATATTCATGGGAAACTTGGAAGCCTCATGCTAAACGTAACATTGATAAATTAGAGGCTGTACAGCGAAGAGCCACCAGATGGATTACCAAGTCTGATGATGATTACGATACTATACTATCTAAGTTAAAATTGTTGTCATTATTTAATAGGAGGTTCATTTGAGATGTTACGTACGTAATTGATGGACATTATGATATAGGCATATCAAACAAGCTCATATTTTGTAAGGACAGAAACACAGGTTATAACTTGTAATGGGGAAAAATGACACACAGGACCTTGATTATAGCCATTGATTAATTATGTGTTCTAAAATTGGTTAAAGATATCAACAAGCGGAATAAAAACTGCTGCCACTGCTCCATTGAGCACGGTGAATAAAGATTTAAAAAAGGATTAACTTCTGTACTTCTTACTTTGGCTTGCACCCAAAAATGCGAGAACATTTGTCTTCAATCTGGATTTTGTGTGTGGGTTTGTTTATTGTGCTCTCTGATTTCGCAAAAAAAATTGTTGGTGCGGTTAGATTCTTCTAATTTCGTGTGGGAGAAAAGTCTAAAGTGACAGAGGGACGGCAAACGCCAAATTCAAGTTGAGAATTTCTCAAAACAGAAGGTGAGCGGATAAAAACAGCTCACAACAATTCTAATTAATCTAATGCATAGAAAATTGCATGAAACTACCAACATTTGTGTAGATATAATGAACAGTAAACGACAAGTAAAGGGGAAACTTAGTCACGTGGTACAAATTCACGTTTGCCGTTTGACGTAAACGTTATGCTTAACCTCTCTTAAAACTCACTAGTGGATTTCAGGGAGCACTAAGATCCCGGAATATCCGATACTCGCAAAGGCGGTTTTAGCTTTGACTGAGAAGACGTTATCGCTTATTTTGTTAACTTATTTTGTTAAGTTTGACTGCAGTGCTTGCAGTTCACTCATTTGATATGCGGAAGTTCAAAGTAGAATGCCATGGAATGTAGGATCAGGGGGTTTATTCTAAGTAAGCCTTTCTACTTGCAAGTGCACGTGGTTTTAAAAAGGTTGCGGTTGTGTACATTAGCTTACACCTGATACAGACTGCACGCAAATATGACATATCCCTCTAGCTAAGAACACAAAAAAACCCTGAACTAATGTTAGCTTCTCCTACTTAATGACTGTTTTAGATCTTCTTCTATAACGTCGGAAAATCAGAATCACGTTTCTTACTGTGGACTATCAGCTTACCCTTTGCTGACTGTTTCAAAGCCGCAGAAAGAATACTTCCTGAATGTTCCATGAAAGGGATTGCGTGCAGCAAGCGGACGTTTTCTTGACATAATCCATGCATACCTACCGCGGATTATCACCAAAAACCCTTAACATTTATTTGGCTTTCGGAAAGAAGTGACAGTTTTCTCTAAAAGAATTATCATCACTGAATCATTTAACAAGTTAAACCACGAAACAACGAGTGCGTTGGCAATGATAGCATTGAATGACCAAGAAAAGAGTTGAGGGTTTATCTAATAACAGTTTCCAGGATCCACTGGTTTTCTGGCCTTTCAGGAAACGTAGTGCATGAGTGGGTGGTGATAAAGTCTTTTAAGACTTAGTACGTGGAATACCGCATGCATATAGAAAGGATAAAATTAGCTTCCCTTTGCCAAGAGGGTCATATCTCAAGTTTGACCGGCTAAACTGCCCCTATGCAGGGTAAACAACTAGAGTTTTGGCAACAAACTTTAGATAAACGTTGCTCTTACAAATATCTACAATTACTGTTATTTGTAGGAATATTTTTAAGCTGCTTTAGAAAGATTTGCCCTTAAAATATTTTGATAAACTGTTTCCACAGACAGGGCCGTCTCTCGCACTGCACTCTCCTTGCCTTTGTCTCTTAAAATTTACATAGTATATGAAATCCATAAAAATTAGGTGAAGTGCCGGACAGCGTGATTCTAACAGTGTGCCCAGTGCTCCATAAGACAGTCGGTTTTCATTAGTTTGAATCTATTGATGAAATACTTGGCAGAAGTAGCTGTTTGCGAGTCCTTTTGTTCTTGTTAATGTGCAAGACATGAAATTCGCTCTATTAAAGTATAACATATGATTAAGTACACGTCGGTTTAACGTGTCAAATAAAATATTGTTTTTGAAGATGACTCAAACGTCGGTTTAACGTCTCAACAACAACCCTATTCAAGACAGACGATCACATTCCACCTACGTTTGAAATGACTCCTCAAGCTCAAACCATCAACTGTGAAAAAAGAAAATTTAAAATTTGCATCATATTGCACTTTCACCACCCAATCAGCTTGTTTTTACTTGTTAAGAGGATTTGGTATACATGGCTGATTTGTCAAATATGAGCCGAGGAAACGTTTGTACCGCTATAAAACAACTCATCCAGATGTCGACAGGCCATTACATCTAGGTTTAGCAGCCAGATGGACCTCAGAAAATTTGCACCTTTTGTCTTTGTCCTAAACCTGGGGATTCTCCCTCTAACTGTAAAAGGTATGCCACTCTTCTTTTCATCGTAGGCTGTTGTAATCATCATTTGTACGTTCTTATACCTAACAATAGGCAAATATTACCTTTTTCCTTGTAACATAGTTGAAAATTGCTAAAATTTCAACTCCTGAAAAGCAATTCATCTCGGTCGAAGACTTTTTATTTTGTTATTTATTTTTTAAGGAACACGACATGTACTTATTTAGACCTCAAATAAAGACAGAAGGTCTGACAGCTAATATTTTTTAATTTCTTAGTTCTTCTGATTTACAACTTTGGAGAACACAACAAGTCCCTCCCTCTCGTTTAAGTGACTAACTCAGTGCTCGAGCTTGCGACTAGAGTACGGTCCAAGTCTCTGATCGATGAATTTTTCCATCTCATTTAAAGTGCCAGTTTCTATACATTCCACGATCTCGAGAAAATGATTATATTACAAAGTTTTCGATGGACTAATTTGTTTGTTGTAACTCGGTTCTGCAAAATAGTACAGTCTGTTCCCGTCAGCGGGCTACCCCTTGGATTGAAGGAAAACGAAACAAAATTTTAAACACAGACAGGTGATTGATTCTTGATACGATATTTCATATCCCCAAAAGACCTGCAGTGTGAAGATTTCAAATCTAGAACATAAGATTTTGACAGTGGGGTGAGATCTGCCCCTTACACTCCACACCCAAATTCTGATGCAACGCGAAAGTTTTAATCCATTTCAAACTTTTGAAGACCATAGTGGTATCTGGCAGTTCATCAATCCACCTTTTACAGAAAACCTTAAACGAGTTTTTAATCCTTGATTTTCCTATTTTGGAATCAGTCATTTCCGCGCTTCTACAGACGTTCATATTTCCTAATCCGTGCAGCTCTGTTTTAATCCAATCAGAGATGACTGTCATTCGCGGGCTACCCTTTTGGTGCAAGGAACCGAGCTTACTCGACACATTGCGTGTGCGCGCGTAGCAAAACGGTAATTTGATTAATCTAGGTATTTAGATTTGCTCTCAACAAGTGGAGTAACTGAACATGAACGAAAAAGGAGCTAGGAGAGATTAAATTGGACTTAAAACAAATCTAAAGAGAGTTATTACAGTAGCTATTGTCCTAGTTTGCCATTTGGACCGCCGCGATCTTTATCAAATATTATCCAAATCAAGAGTGAAACATTGAAATATGATGATAAAGGTAAAGCAAAAACAATATAAAAACTAGATGATATCAAAATTTGCATAAAGACACTTACCTCCAAAGCGAGAATGCCATTCGCCAAATCGTTCAGTACAATTTCAGAAAAGCATGAGCATAAAAGGCAGGGGTTTTCCCGGGGGGACCAACGGAAATCGGTCGTTCAGTCCGCCTGCCAATATGACGTCACATCTCGCGTCGGTGACTTTCAAAATGGCGAGCAAAGTGTTCATCGAAGAGACAGATAAAAATTTCGAATTAATCAAGGAATTACTGTTCTGATTTCTTGGATTTGGAGATTTTAAGGTCCCTCTTGTCATAGAAAAAGACTTTAGTACTTTTTTGGGATGAAACGTCTACTGGTGTAATAAATTTTAAAGATTCCTTTCTATCGTTGAAAAAATTTTACGGGCAATCAAACCGACCAGTCACATTTTTTGAGGGCCAGTGCACAGCAAGATTGAGGAATTTAGACACAGCAGTAGGAGGTTCATCAAAGGATCAATTATACTTTACATTGTGCGTATTTTCAGCTGTTCAGAGCTAGTGGAACCCCATATCAATCCTTTCAAAGTTCGCTTAGCTGTAGCGTTGAAAGAGGAAGCTACATGGCAGATATTTGTGAGAGACCGTGAGCGTTGAATCTTGTTGCTTTAACATATTTTCATACTGTACTGGGCATACACCTGTAATTCTATAATTAAATCCGGAAAACCAATGGTTTCGTTTAATTATTTCTTGGAGGCAAACCCAGTGGAGATTTTAGGGTAATAATATTGATGATTAAGCCGATGTACAAAAGGCAGGTTTAAATTTCGCCAGTGGGTCACTGGTGGGTGTACAGTCTTGTGGTGTACTGTGTGTTGTTTGTCATGATGTCAACTAACATTGAAAAAAATTCAGCTGTTTGAGAGGAGAGGGGACATAAGCTGACAGCTTGTGGTTTTTTCTGGCCGTAAGCTTGGCCAGTATGCAGATCAAGAACTCTTGAAATTCCTTTTCCAAAATAATACTCCGGACTTAAGCTTAAAATATATATTGATCCCAGTGCATGACCAGCAGGGTCAGCAGTAAGAATAAAGAAAAACAGGCGAAAAGGAAAAACCAAATATCAAAACGGTTTACACAAGCAGATTATAGCAACACCAAAGCTCACACACATTCGATCAAATTAGCGATATATAGCGATATTTGATGGCTTCTTAGCTTTTCCACGACCTCACTCGTCCTAATAACTGTCGTATCCCTTGCTAATTTGCACACTTGACCGCGAGGCTCTTGCCCGTTACTATGTGACGTCATACTGGCAGGCGGAGTGGGTCAAGAAACTTAGGAATAAAACAATAGAGTTACCTCCCCCTCCCCACCCCCTGATGTTGAGTAAATGAAATGAAAAATATCTGTATATATAAACTTCTTCCTCCTAAATTTTCTCACATAACTACAAGGCAAAGATTTTACACCTCGCCTGGAAATGAAAAGTGAAAAATGCTAGGCTACGTTTTTTCTTTTCCCTATAACGCCAAAGTAGAGTCGCTTATTACCCTCTAGACTTGAACCGTAGGCCAAGTTACGTTTCTACAGCGCTATTTATGAAAAGAAAAGTCACAATATCCTTGCAAAAGAACAGCTTTTGGTGATATTTCTTTCAAACTGAACTTCACTAAATGAAGAAGAATTAATTTTCTGTCCTCACATTTTAATAACACACGAAAGTTGCTTATCTCTCCTCACCTTTCAAATAAACACAGACACACCCCTGGCCGCTCTTCATTTCTTTTCAAGCAACACTCCGTCTCTTTCCATCCCATACCTACACTACATTGAGACATTTTTTTTCCATTTTACAGGCATTTCCTATCAGGTTGGAAAACTGAACGCATCAGAGACGCGTCAAGGATGGAATTGCAACAGCGGATGTCAGGCGCCACAACATTGTACACTGCCACGCTGCACTAACGTGGTATTTCCGCAAACTTTCAGTGGATCTGGAACAGTAAGTATACCTTAAAGCAATTAGAAATTACCCTATTTCTTCAAATAATAGCCTCGAGCGATTATTCGAGGAAGGCGATTATTTCAAATATTGGTCACTGGAAGTCGATCCCCAAATATTTTATTTTGTTACCCGTTAAATAAAAATAAAGAAATAATCACATCAAATATACTAAACATGGGCTTTATAAGTTTTGAAAAAATGGTTCGTTTTCAGGAGCAATCCTTTTCCTTGGTTATTTTTCAATTTCAATATCCTTGGCGTTAGAGCTTGAATCGTCACTGATCAGTTTTGCTGGATGAGATTCCACTTCAGCTTTGTTTGTTATCCAAGGCGTCACTTTTTAACTCGACAGGGAGGTGGTAAAGAAAGAGAAGATAGCGAGAAGGGTGGGGGTTAAGGGCGATTATTTGAGGGAGAAGATTAATCGAGGGACGGCTATTTTTCGAGGAAATACAGTAGTCTAATCTTAAGGGTTGGTGGCAACTTTGTTTTGTTAGCAGAACACAATAAGCTTCTTTAGAAACTAATTTTTTTAACAAATTTTGATTTGCCAGCATTGTGGCCTTTGTAATGTTATGACCTCAGACAATCAAGTGCTCCCTAATCCCTAGGATGCGAGTGTTTTCAAACAAAACAAAACAAGACAAAACAAAAAATCCAGAGAATTCTGACAATAAAAATAGGCTAGAAGATCTTTAATCCTTGGAATGGGGCCGGGAATGGAGGGTTGAATTAGATCCTCTTTTTCTTCAGATTTAGTGTGAGGAGTGCACGCGCGCACGAGCATTGAAACCACCAGACGCACGCGAGAAACGAGGGCGGCAGTCTCGCCCCTTCAGTCACGCGCGTGGTCATTTTCGTTTCTCGCGCGTTTCGCACGACAGACAGATCAACAGTCCGGAATATCCCTAAATTTAAGGACAGGGCCAAATGGTCACGCGACACTGTTCAACCAAGTAGAAGGTGGGCTTGTGTTTATCAAAACATCGACCAAGTGATCAAAAATTTTCACAACAGCGGACAGAGTCGGACAGATTTTAAGATAAGCCAGGGGCCCATAACCTGGATAAGCTTACAATACTCGGCTAGGTTTCTCATTATTTCAAAGAAAACATTTGATGTAAGAGAATAAGAGTATTATTCATTGCAAGGAATCATTGGGGTGTTCGAACTGATTCTGGACCCATCGCAGAGGTCGTGGATTCACTGACTTGGCTTGCAAGATTTTTGATAGAAGCAAACTTGAAAATTTGCTGAGATCGTACAAAACAGGAATGGTACTACCTATTAACTTCTACAGAACAAGAATCAAAGAACCAGTGATCATAACAAGAATAAAAAGTAGTTCAAATTTATTAATTTTCCTTGTTTGTTTTTCTGTGTTGTTTCGTGTTGACTTCACGCATCTGGTGCTTTCTTTGCTTGTTGTCGTACCTGCAATGTTTTAATTTTATCCCAGATAATCAGTGCATGTTTAATGTGTAGCGAATTACATCATTTACAGTTGAAATTTGTCTTCTTTCTTTGATTTTTTTAACTGTGGATGAACATTTGGAGAATCCAACAACAATAAATCTTTCCTGATTTGGTGAATTTCAGAAACAAAGTGGTTAATAACTACCTTACGCTTATGATCTTTAATTTTATCCCCGCAAATTCGGCAAAGAGAGGCGAGATGCATGTTGGACGTGAATATCCATAAGACTAATAAAGTTGTTTTGGCCTTGAAAAGAAAAAAGGCAAAGGCTCGAATTAATGCGAAAAAAAGTAGTAACACGGCTCTTCCATGTCTGCGTGAAACCTGGGAGTGGAACACGTTCGATCTCTCGCATCAAGGACAATTTCTCACATCTGACTCTCAAATCCGGACAAATTGTTCTTAACACATGATGACTGTGTCCTTTTTTGTGTTCTAACGAAATCATATCAAAGCAAGCTAAAAGTGTCGTCTTTTAAGTAGCTTCGAAAGTGCTCCAACGTCAGGTCTTCTAGCACATCTGAGGACATTTAACTTTCGGCAACGTTCGGAAGTCTTCGGTAATTCGTCGGAAATCTTTGGAAGTCGCCGGGACGTTTCGTGAAATCTTGGTTATGACAAGGTGAAAATCTCACGCATTTGACTCAGGCAGGTATAATATTGGGACGTAGATCGTAAGAAGACCAAGAAAACCGTCTCTGAATCATCTCAGTAAAACCCTGCAATTGCCTTTGTAATGCCCTCATTCTGAGCAGCCATCGTATGCTGGTGCGTTCTCAGAGAAACGTAAATTTGAAATCATAGGTCATTTGCAGATGGTACATGACGCACATGAGATTTTAAGCATCTTGCTGCTAAGATTACGCCTAAAAACGCACATATGATCACATTATACGATGAAAAGAGTCGAACAATGCTATTCAAGGCCTGAAGAACAAGTTTTTGTAGAAAATAAGGCATAAGCAGGTCCTTTGTCAGTTGACAGTAAAACCCAAGGCAAATGTCAGTAGTCAGTTAAATTTTCGGCTATTTGTGAGTTGTCAGTCGTCAGTTAACCCAATCCAGACCCTCTTCTAGGTTGTCTACTATCCCCACATTCAACGTGATAAACGTTAATGGATATGACAATTGAGGAAAAATATCTAGAACTTCGTAAAAATCTGTAAATCGAAAAAAATTATAGATACTTGTTCACCTACCTTAAAAACCGACCAAAATCTCGCCTACATCGTGTTGTTTAATAGAAGAAATAAGGCACAAAATGTGCTGAATATTTCACGAGAAACTTCCAATATGGCTTTCGATACGCTTTCCACTTGAAAAAATTGTGTATGCCTCATGAAAAGTCTTACAAATATGCCTGAGAGTCTCGAAACGGTGACTGTGGTCGTTTAGGTAATCTATCCGCCATTTTTCTCGAGAACAATAGCTCCATGACGTCACAACTGCCTTTAAATTTATTCCGTACTGATCAAGGTAGAAGAAAAAAGAGAGACTGCTCGTAATCTAGGGTTGAATTGTCGCCTGCAAATTTTCATTGATGCTTATCTTTTCAGGTTCGAGTTTTTGTGTCATTAAGCCACGAAGATCAGTCTTCAGTTGTTCATTCGCCTTCTGCTGTGTGGGCAGAGTCCATAAGTACAGCAGGATTTCAGTTATGCTCGCGTGCAACAGGTTCTACAAATGACACTGGAATTATCAACTGGGTAGCGTTTCAGGACAAACCCATGTTAACGCATGGAAGCGTTACATTTAGTGGAATATGGACAACAGAAACCAAGTGTGAGAAGGTGGCCTTTTCTCAGGTTAGATAACAATAATTGATAACAAGTGTATAATTTTGTTATCAAGGTGTAAAACGTAATTAAATAGTAGAAACAAATGAAATAGTATCAGAAATTATAGTTCTAAAACAAATGATCTCTAGTTCAATATCCGGAATTTGTTCTTACTGGAACAGGCCCGATTATAATCGGGCCTGGGAAAATGCATTGCTAAAAGTCTTGTTAAGCTACCTCCGGGCTTAGATTCAAACTTTTCCTTCTATCGCCTTTAGACAAGCCATTTTCACGTTTTGCTTTAGAACATAGTTAATTGAGTGGAATGGTTATGAAACCCGTCAGACTCCTTTGTTCTATGTTTTTGTGGACCAGAAAGTGCACAACGTTCAAAAGCATTCCTGTCATTTGGATTGTTTTGACCAATAAAAACGTTGCATTAATATATTCTGTAACAATTTGCCAACAGAAAATAAAGGATTGTGCGCTTTCAGGGTGCTTCCAACATAAACTGCAGCACTGTAAATTGTTAATTTATCTTTGATGTTTGCCGCTTTTCATAACCAGTCTCCCCTAATAACTATGTTTAGAAGTAGTGATTGAATAATGCTTGACCGTTTTGATTGTATTGATGTATCAAAAGAAATTGGGAAAATAGAAGTCTATTTATTTAATGATGTTAAATTTTTGGCATTAAACCTAACAAAGTTAGCCGAACAGAAACATTGCTGTTAGTAGCTTTATTTAAGTAATGGGCCAAAAAAGATGCATTCAACAACCTTCTCAACACTTCGTAGAAAGAGGTGAAGAGGGGTAGAAAATTGAGTCGACGTGAATAGACAAGTAGTCAAGATTTAATTAATCTGCTCCCATTAGCCTTTGATAAATCCTTAATTTCATAAGTGCCACTGAGCACGTCAGTGATACGATCATGTTGATTTATATCTCGAGAAAATCGTTTATTTTTTAGTCAATAGTTTTTCATATATCTAACATTTTTTTTGCAGAGCTTTGCTTCCAAGCCTCGTGTATTTGTCTCTGTTAAGTACACTCGCAGTACTAAGCCAAATGATGCTATGTACTTATGGTTAGAAAACGTCAATTCTGGAGGATTTGAAGTGTGCTTAAGGGAATTCTTGCCCTTTGATGGAAAGCACCAAGATGCAGTTGTGGTAAGTGAAGAAAAATGCTCGAGTAAACTATAATATTATAAATATAAATAAATAAATAACTTGACTTTGCCACACTTCGGCAGCCCGGACAACCAATTACCTAGAACGTTCGTAACAGTGTCTCACGCAGACATTTCTTGTTAAAGGAAGTGTCGTTCGATGCCTGACGTCTTGTAAATTAAACATTATTTTCTTGTCCACAGGACTGGTTCGCATTCACTGGAAATGGGAGTCAACTTAATTTCACAATAACTGGAGAAGAAATCTTTCCAAACAGTGGAAATCCATCGGCCAAAAACAACTACGGCTTCTGTCAGGTGAAAACTTTAGTTCTAACAAGAACATTTACCAAGCCACAGAACATTTTCAGTGGTTGAGGTCACACTAGAGAAAACTTAATATAGTAAACCTAAATTTACCAGGCCATGGTGATCGACAATGTATCCAAAATGGCAATTCCCAGATGAACGCGACATGCTTATCTCGCGACTTGAATGTGCGCATATTTTGGGATTTTTAAATTTCGCGACTTTGCAAGAATTTTATATTTCGAATCACTTCAATTTCGCGTTGTTGAGTGGGCGAATATTAGAAGTGGGGACTTTACAGACGATGGGCAAAAATAGAGGGAGAAGTGAGCACGTACACATCCATTTACTAACTTACGTTTGTTTTTTACCTATTTACAGGAAGTACCTTTCAATACGACCTTTTACAAATCGCCAATTGTGATTCTTTCCGTAAATCATGAGTATAATCTTCAGGTCAAGGGAAGCCGTCTTCCAGAAAATAATATAATATCGTCCTGGGTTGAGGTAGGTTTGAATTTTTATTCTAACCTGAGAAAAAAGCCGGCATTTCACGCTACGCCACCACTAGTTTTTCCACAAAATGACGTCTGATGAACGACGATAGCAAAAATTGTATACTGATGATGTGTCAACTGGGCATGTAGTGCTTCTGATTGGTTGATTAGAAAACTTCCATTGCGGCACGACCAATCAGGAGCAGTATCTTGATCTGCGAAGTGCAAAGTCATCATTATGGGATTTCTTCACTCGTTCCACAGACGTCTTTTCAACCAGTAATTAATTGCGTCGCGAAATGGGGTTTTCCTCACTGGATAATATTCTTGTTCAATAAGGGAAGAGAAGTAATCCGTATATTCTAGTAAATTGATAAAAGGACCGTGAAAGAGCCATAAGAAACAGATAATTTGGATCTGATCCGTAAATTTCATGACTTGTATTGTCTTCGTAGAAATTAAGAAGAAATTATGGATTTTCTAGTAACTGATGAGTGCTATCACATTTTGCTGTAGGACGTTGGATTAGAATCTATGAAGATATGCGTTAAAGACCTCAGCGGATTAGGATCGAGTCATGATCCCTTGATTGTCAGCTACGCTGTTACTGGAGGTTGTTAATTAATTTTCCTATTGTAATGATCACTATTTCTAGAATTTTTATTATTATTATTATTATTATTATTATTACTTTTATTTTTATTGATATCTTTTAGAAGTTTTTATTTGTAGGAAAACGTTTCATGATGATAGAATTAACTAAACGCTGGAGTACAAGCAATGATAAGCTTATTCATGTTACACTCTACCTTTGAACGCACGTAAGGAATGATGGGATAAGAGCAATTAGAGGGCAGACAAGTAATAAAATTGCCAAACGAGTAATCGAGCAATCGCGGGCGAGTTTGTTTATTCCCTCAAAATAAGACGACGATTCTAGTCATGCAAAATGCAAAATGTAAAGTTCGACAAGTTTTACGTCATAATTCCTTGCTGTGAAGACTTCTACTGTGGTGTACTGCATTCAAAATCACTTCCACCCATCTTTTGCGATTTTCTTTTCATTTAATGTTGAAACTTCTTTTCTATTGTGTAGGTCAAACAAAACTCGACTGCATTTTTGTATTTGCAGATTTTATCTCTTGTTTGCCCCCTGAGAAACCACGTAACATTGCTTTAATTTATTCCATCAGCCTTTAGCGCGTGCAAAGATGGCGGTATCGTTAATAACGTCTGCTAACGATAAAAATAATAGGTTGAGTTGCCTGTATGCAAACATGTCATTACTATTTAGTTTTAATTCAAATATGAAAAATATATTAGAAATTTATGTTTTTTCCGAATGGATAACTACTCAATATTATGTTTTTTTTCTTGCTGCAGATCTTAATCCTTGCCTTAATGTGCATTGCCCTCGATTTGGAGTCTGCAGGACCTACAGTGCGCATGACGCTCAGTGTGAGTGCGATGGCCAATGCCCCTCATATAAAGACCCAGTGTGCACTGCGAACGGAACAACTTACGACAACCGATGCTGGCATAAGTTAAGCTATTGCAGAGGACTCGAAAATAATCTGGTCTACCACCCAGGAAGCTGTGAAGGTAACGAATAATGATTTCAACGATTTTTTTGGCTGTATATGCCACATAAACTAGTCTGGGAGTTAAGCTCTCGATCGCTTAGAATTATAGTTGTTGGTTCAAAATTGCATTCAATTTGGCTTCTAGCTATAGGATGTTTATAACTTTCCGTTACTTTTAAGCTGACTTCTAGCCCCTCACGCAGGCTAAGCAACAATAGAGAGTTGTAACAAGTTACTTCGTCTGTCTGCTTTGGCAAACAAACACATAGCAGCCCAGGCTATAGGCGATGTTTGATCTGTGTAAGATCTTTTATTCTTTTTTGCCTTGCAATCTAGTTTTTATCGCGTAAAATTAGATTCACACAAATTTGCTCGTGGAAAATATGGTTCAAAAAAGTGCAAAAGAGGAGGAAATCAAAGACAAGGGTGGTAAATATCACAGTTACATACCAGTTTACATGGAGTTGCATATTTGAGGGCAAATGCAGTATTTATTATCTTTGCCCTTGATTTCATCCTCTTTTGTATTTTTTTTTTGCACCCTATTAGCACTGAGTAAATTTGCTGAAAATCAAATATTTCGCGCAGTGGCGCACGCTCCCACGCGTACATGTCATCAGGTACGCTTTTGATTTATAATTTTTTTTTTGGCCTCCTCTAGTACTGCATATGTTTATCTTTATACTGGCATATGTTTATCTTGGGCACTGAAACCAGCAACCAGCATGCAATAATAAGCAGCCACTATACATTTCGTTGTTGAAAGGTAGCCGACATTGCAAGTTATAGCCTAGTTTTAGTTCAATTTCCACGCTTTTTTTATCACCACCCTTCACCACTTAGAGTTACAGTACAACGCAAGCTAACGAAGCTACGACCTTAGCGATAATGCTTAAAGAGTACAGTGATGCTTCCTTATCAAGTACTTAATTTATTATAAAACAGGTTTTCCAATTGTTCGGGGCCGTGTAGATCTGCTACAGGTTCCAAAATGGTCAGATTCAAACTGTCAGACAGTCACATTTCCTCCATACCGGTTTTATCCCGATAAACAAGTTCATGTTCAAATAACCGTCAATCACATGAAGCTGAATGACTCTGTGACAGTCCACGACGCTGTTACTTCATGGACAGAAAGTATCAACACAAAAAACTTCACCGTCTGTGTCATGCAAACCGGAAGGAAAGAAGAAGGTGCGAATCCATTTGCCACCATTGATTGGGTGGCTTATCAAGGTGCACCGCCCGAAGGATTGACGGGAACGGTTGAGTTGCAGAAATGGTGGTCTGGTACCAACTGCGCAGATGTGACTTTTCCTACGGTGAGAGATTATATAATTGATGCAAGTCCCCAAGGCAAATGTTAGACTTTCATTCATCTGATAGCTTTAATCCACGCCGTCTTTAAATAAAAAATAACGGATCATTACGAGGTGACTAGGAAGAAAAAAGACGATTGCTACAATAAATAACAAGACAAGGTTAGGTAATAAATAAGAAGGGGAACTTACTCAGTGATTAGTTGCGTGTAATTTTTGCAGCAATATTCATCTTAACATGACTTCAGTTGTTGTTATTGTGTTTTTTGGGCTTTTTCTTCAGGGCAAGTTTGCTGAGGCGCCAATAGTCCTTGTGACGTCAGAGCACCTGAGGACTGGTAAAGAGTATGATGCTGCTCTCATTTGGATTGAAGACGTAACTAAGGACTCAGTTAAAGTCTGTCTTCGTGAAATGCAAAACTTTGACGGTAGACACCAAGATATCACTGTGGTACGTTCTTAGTGGTTTTCTTAGAAACTGGAACGCGAATGTCTGCAAAATTTGTAAGGATTGTTGGTCTGTTAACCATAACAGCGCGGTTAAGTTGAAATGGCGTTGATAACTTTAAAGATCGTCCTGGCGAGTGATGGTTCAGTCGAACGAAGGAACTGCAAAAAGAAAAAACATAAAAAGGAACAGAAATATAATAATAACGAAAAGAGAAAAAGAAGAAAAAAAAAACTGAATATCATTACAAGGAGTGAATTTTAAATAGCACGCAAATTGGTCTGCCTTGTCCCCATGCTTCCCTTCCTGACGTTTTTACGCGATTCCCCCGATGTCGTAAAAAATTGTGGATTTGCATCCTTTCCTTGACTTTTTGCGCTCTTTGTTAGTTCACAAATTTATAGAGTTCAAAATGCTTAGGTTCACTGAAAGGGCCCTGAAAATGCAGTTGATTTTAAATAAATTTTCTGTGGGTATGTTACAAGACTGTTACAAGTAGGGGTGGCATCATTTTTGTTTTTTCCTCTTTTCACAGAACTGGTTTGCCTTCTCCAAACTGCACAAGCCTCTTTTCACTGAACATGGCGTCATAAGTTTTCCAAATACGAACCCACCTTCGGATAAAATGAACAATGCTTATTGTGAGGTGAGAAAAGAATTCTTTGCAAAATTATTAGCATAAGCGTGCTATTCACAGGATTTTCCCTCACAAATATTTAGCTTACTTACATCACTGTTTATATCTTCAAAACACTTATAGTCATTATGCACTGTACGTGGTAGACATCAAAGTAACCAGAAAAGCTAAGAAGCTGGTCCACAAAATAATGTTTGAAAAACGTTAGTCGAAATATTAAAAGGGCAGTTCGTTCTGTTAAAATGATGAATCGCAAATATTTTAAACACAACCGAAGGTAACTAAATTTAAAGGAAACAGGGTTAAACGTTGTATGTTTCTCTTTCATGGCAGTTCGTCACATTCACGAGAGCTTATAACTTGACTCCGACAGTCCTTGTCTCAGCCAATCACAGCACGACAGTATCTGGGAATTCAGCACCGATCCACAACGGAATTACAACTTGGATAGAGGTAAAAGTTTCCGCCATGGGGCGAATGTGTAGGGATGTGTCCTGGCAAAAAAAAATTCAAACCGAAGCTCGATGAAAGATAAAACGAACAGAATCACACTTGAGGCGATGTATAGGTCGATAATAGATGTGGCTCAAAAATGGACCAAAAAAATTTGAGATTGCTTATTGGCTAACTTCATGTTTTCGATCGCGAATATAATTATGTAGGTATTATTCATTAAAGTTTGAATAATATCTTTAAATACTCAGGCGCCTCGGTGGTCTCAAACTTTAGATCTGACGGTTCGGGTTTAAACGTTACCGTAGTTTTTTTTTCTTGGAACAAGAAATCATTTGCTGTCTTCATCAACCGGGATCGAGGTTTAGCCAAACTGTTTGGGCTTAATATAGCTCCTGCGCCACCATCATACCCCTTATTAGGGAAAAAAGGATATTTTGGATAACATTTGAACCTTTTAATTCTTTTAGCTTTTATAACTTTGTTATTTCTAAACCTTCCAATCTTTTAATTTTCTAGCGGTCTTTGCAAGCTTTCATCAAACCACGGTTTTCAGTCGGCGAATCTGTTTGCATTTCTATGTCACATAAAAAGACTGTAGGAGAAAGGTTTAATTTCAGAGACTATTCAAACATTCACTCCACGTTAATCCAGTTGTTTATGGTTGCAACTGCATAAAATGTACCAGCTACGTTAAGTGTTTATTTTTTTCAGAACATGAATACCTCTGGATTCAGAGTCTGTGTCAAGGAATTATACGGGACCAGATATGACCCCTTGTCCGTCAGTTATGCTGTGCTTACAGGTCTGTAATAAGTACTGAACTCGTTTATGAAGTAGTTTTTGGCAAACATCTTACCCGATTCATGAGGAATTATAAATACTTTGGAAGTGCTCTAAACTAACACAAGCATATGGTTTGCGTGTCATGCCCAGTGAGAGTCAAGAGGGTAACAAAATTCCAGTCGCTTTTTGTTCAAATTTTCTACTTTCGGTTCCCCATTTACTGCTAGCAGCAGGGTACCATTTTGAAGTTCTTGTCTCAAAGAAATTAGGGACCTTAAGATGTGAGGACGGCGACGGCAGGTAAAACGTCGCTTAAAAAGTGAATTCGGGGTTTTCAATCTTCATCGCGATTTTTCCATCTCGCTTACTTTGTCGAAAGTATGCTACTCCTCCTGAAGTTGAATTCCTAAGGGCCTTGTAACAGTTAAGCCGAGAAACAGCAGGAAAATTTCGTCGTTGCTTGTTTACGTCCTCTAAAAAACATGATACTAGGCATTTTCACGTTGTAGTCGTGCAACGACGGCTAAGAAATGTCGAAAAAAGCGTGATGGCACGTGCATAGTTGTTGTTTTACTATTAAACCTATTGCTTTTTGGCCGTTCTCATTGCCGCCGTCGTCGTCGTCGGATCTTAAGGCCCCTAATAACTCATAATGACAGAAGACCTCAGTTGCCGAAATGAAAACCATCATGCATCGAACAAACGTTAAAAGTTAGTGTTGCTTCAGAATTTTTACTCTAATTTGAGAAAGTGATCCCTCTTTCATCATTGTGACACCACTCCTACTCTCCTCAAGATAAAAATAATGATGATGGTCTACTCGTTGCCCCGAAAAAAACGTTAATTATTTTTAATTATCTTTTCTTATCACCCTTGCAACAATACTCCTACAAAAGTGCCGCTAGGGATAAACAATGTCTATCAATCCGACCATAATCATATTTATTATATATATAATAATTTATACTGATATCAGCAATCTAAATCTTTTCTTCTTTTTACATTTTGTTAGATATTTGTGATCCTGGCTGGAACTATTTCAACGGCTTTTGCTATTTCACAAGTAAGACTTGTCAAAACTGGACCACATCACTGGATAAATGCCGACAAGAAAACTCAGTTCTTGTTGATGTCCAAAACAATGAAGAAAATGTGTTTTTACAGCATCTTCACAATGGAGCAAAATCCTGGCTGGGATTGAATGATATTTTCACAGAGGGCTCCTTTACTTGGGCAGATCGTGGTACAGGCAACTTTACAGCTTGGGCCAAAAACCAACCCAACAATTTTCGAGATGAAGACTGTGTACATACACTTGGTGTTGAATACAAATACGAATGGAATGACGTGAAATGCAGTGACTGTCATCAGTATACTTGCAAGAAAGGTATAGTTTTTCATGTATGTTTAGGTGTAAGGTTATGGTCGTAAAAAGAGATTATTATCCCTGAAAAATTACATGATTAAATGATATCTTGTCATTAAACACAGACAAACAAAACAGTTGAAAAAAATAATTAAGTGATGCAATGAAGGAACCGATGGATATGTTGCGGTGGGTCATCCTTGGTGTTAAAACCTGTGAAGTTTTTCTTTGTTTTCTAGCTATATTGTAGCTACTAGTTATAGCTATCGCTAAGTGCCAACGAGCAAAGCTTTTACTTATTGTTGGTTTTCACATTACATCACTAAAATTCAAACTAAAAAACTATCGATCCTACCGTGATTTTGCTTTCACGATAAATTAGAGCAGCTGAAAACTAATTTTCATACAAATTTTCGCCTCAAAAGGGTTCTTGGTTTTGTGATAGAGTACGCTTTAATTTCTAAGCTTTTGCGTGACGCGGCATTTACATGACGGCCAAGGCCCAAGAGAGCTGTCATGTAGGTTTAAAAAAATGACTTATCTCAGGAAATTTTGCTTTCTAAACAGTTCATGTATTAGAAAAAGTATTACTTTAATGAATGAGTTTCTCGAAGAAAAAATTCACGCTTCTGTAGCAAAACTCGGTAACAGATGTTTCTGTTGGTTTCCGTCTACCATATTGGAGCTCATCCATGTGAACACCAGCAAGGCGTCTCTATACTATAAAAATCTCTTTAAGTTTGGGTAAAACATTTCTTCGGATATCTCGTATACGAAATATTCCTCAGACCTGAATCTTGGCGAGGGTCTCTGTATATGTACCTCCTTTCATTTCCCAGATTCTGGACTTTATCTATTCAACCGTTTTGATTTTTATTTTGATCTATTTTGAATGGCATGACACTGAAAACCAGCAATACGCGCGCACTGTTCAATGTTTTTAGAAATGTCATGAATTACTGTAATCTGATAATTTAGAATGTTGTCAACAGCACCGTTTGGGTCGAACTCTCGTTCATTGCAACTCAATTTTTTGTTTCGAAGTGCCACTTTAATTAACTAAAACTTTCAAACACTGAAAATAAATGGAATCACGGAGACCGATCGGTATGGAGGGCAGTTTATTGTACCATTTTAGTCATAAGTTTATTTATACGAATAACAATTTTAGTGCAATTTGTGCTAACAACTCGTCTGACATCTCGTCTATATCTTCTTCAATTACTGGATCGCCACCGTAATCTTGTTTCAAAAGCGCTTCATTTCTCTGCTTCTTCCACGGCTTTGCAAAGACTTTCAAAACCGACGCCCATTTCCGGCGGCTGGCGTCTGATACCTAGCTTTTGTCAAGCTTCTCGCATTCTGAAGCTGTAATTGGCGTTCTAAATCTTCGCTCTATTTTAAAATGAAAATGGAAACGCCGCCTTTAGAGGTAGATAAAGAAGTAAAGCACTGCCAGAAATGACTCAACGTTACACGCGATTACCTTCGATTTCTGCTGAAATGTCAGTGTTCGTAGAGCTCTGTGTGGTAAATAATGCTTCGTCTTCCCAGGAATCCATCTCCTTTCAAAGCGGAGGCTTGTACTGAGCAGAACGACTGAATTCTCTGGGTTATAAAGAATACAGATTTGCAGTGTTACACGCCTTGCACGTGTTAATTTCATAGTTGGAATTGTTTTAAACAAGTATAACAATGAACTACAATAACAACCCTAGGCTTCACTAAAATCGAACATTCATCACAAAGAAGGAACAATAGGATTTGAAGAGCATCACAATTGACCACTCCAGAAAATACCATAACATACCATAATGCTCTTTGTTTGTCACCCCAAAATTTTGCATAAGCATTGTCTTCAGTTTCTCTCGGGAGTTAAAATGGCCCCAAAAGAAACTGAAAACAATGCTTATGCAAAATTTTGGGGTGACAAACAAAGAGCATTATGGTATGTTATGGTATTTTCTGGAGTAGTCAATTATCAAACATACGTGCAACTAAAGTCGAAGTTCCAACACAGACAAACAACAACAGGACAAGGATCAATAATTATAATGGATAATTACTTCGGCACATGGCATTATGAGAACTATTGTGAGCTCAACTGTTCTACTGCATAAAGAATTTGAAATCCCGACTTTATATAGCAAGTTTTTCGAGATATTGAAGTTCGTGGTTTTGTCCGAAGTTGAGCACATATCATTTTGGGTAAAATTTAGTGGTCTTATAAGCAAACTTAGAATCCTTGAAAAATCAAAGTCCGCGAATATTCATCGTACAGACTTAAATTTGGTCTCTTTTTAAAGCTAAATAAAAATTATGGTGCACCGTTGAAGAATTCCGAATTATTTTGCTTCAAAGACAAAAAAAATTTCGCGGCGTTATTTTTCGTAGCGGCAGGCAATAAAAAACGACCAGCGGGCAAATGCGCAGCCATACTCGTAAGTTGAAAATAAATCCACTCGATGATTGGTTAAATGAACACGAAGGATGAACACTGGACTCACAAGCACTCACACGACTCGTGGATTCTCTGTTCTGTACTATCACGTGTTCCCTCGAAAACAATGCATTCTCTGTTCTGCATTACGTCGTAAATGTTGCCGTACATTACTATATGTTACATCGATTCGAGTTTTTTTCTGCCCCTGGAATTATCTCGCACGGCCCTATTGAGCTTGCGCCTCTCAGTCTCGCGTCTTCGCGAGGATGCTTGTTCAAGCAAGTATTTCCCTTGGCTCTATTATGTTGACTTAGCAGTGGCTTCTTTGTATTAATTGTTTTACGTCATTGGTGAGGTTCACAGGTTTTTACACCGCGGAATATGACCCGCTGTAGTTCAGTTTTGTTCTTGGTTTAAACTTTATTTCCCTTTTTTCAAACTCATTATCATACCTGAATAACATACCCCAAAAGAAAAGAAAAGAAATTTAAACCATAGATGAAATTGAACGCCAACTGAAACAAATGAGTAAAGGACAAGCTTATGAACAATTTCTAATTATAATTCAAAATTCTTATATTTATTAGATTAAACGCCGGGGCGTTTGTTAAATTTTTCGTTATTCGAGTGCGGCGTTTATTTAATAGCCATTTATTTCTTGCAAACAATAGTATGGTAACTGAGCATTTGAACTGTAAAAACAGAAACATGTTTTAGTGCTTTTCTGACTAAAGTCATTATCTATATCTTTCTCAATTTCACAATTTGCATGTTAATATACTACTGGAATACATAAAGTGAATAAAGTTAATTATATTCCTTTGAGCTTCGAAAGTACTGATCTTAAAGCATTGTTAAAATCAAAGAAAATGTTTTTTTCAGGCTTGCTCAAACATGATTATTACTGCATGCATTTACTTTTTGAGTCTATTATTGGAATAAACGCCGCATCATGACGTAGCGTTTATTCGAGGGCGGCGTTTAATCGAATAAATACGGTAATTAAAGAATTGATAGCTGCTGTAATTGCAGTAACTAAACATGGTATCTTTTGTACATTACAGATCTGAATGAGTGCAGCAGGGACAAGTATTATTGCCATCGTTTTGCCACTTGTTCGAATAATCGTGGTTCCTTCAATTGCACTTGTGACCTTCAACAAGGTTTTGTCGGGGATGGCTTTGAGTGCTTAAAATATGCAAGTAAGTGATCTTATGCAAAGAATTAATTTTACAATGCCGAAGTTTAAAGATCACGAGAAGGGCAATTTTATATCATTTTCAACCACCGAGAAAAGGGTTTGAAAACAAGGACAGAAAATTTTTTGTAAAATTTTCAACTATTAATCTGTAACATGAGAAATCAGTTTTAAGTTTGCAGGCCTTCTGTTACGAGCTGATTTTATATGACAAATGAAGGGGTGTTCGAGCAACTCGCTCGCTTGGCGTAGAGGTACCAGGTATCTGGGCCCAGTTGTTCGAAGGCCGATTAGCGCTTAACCCAGGGTTAAATTTAACCCGGGTTTCTATTTCTTTTGTTCAAAAGCATTTTCTCGGATAATTTTCTCTGTTATTTTTAAGAGCATCCAATCATCAACTTGTTGACAAAAAGAATAAAACTGAAATTACTCTCTAAGCTTTTATTTCTGAATTCAAATTTCGCACTAACCCTGAGTTATCTTAACTCAGCTTGAACAACTCGGCCCTGATTTACATTAGCTTACATTTTGGGATTCTTTATTTTTCGCAGCAGTTCGATCATATGTTTTCTTCTACAGCATCACATTCCCACTGCTGCTGAACATAACTACAACATAACCGCACTCCACTCTAACTGCGCAAATATTGCGAAAAAGGCTTAATAAATAACTTAACGTTCGGGCTTGCTGACAATGAGAGTAACGAACGCACTTTCCTAATGAGTCTAGGGATTTCCTGTTGATCACCAAAGTGGAAAAAGCAAACCTATAAGGTATGATAATGGCATGAGCAAGAAACCAATGAAAGCTTGACAGCTGATACCACCGGGCTCTACCGTAAACCAAAACAGGAACTGATGTAGGTAACAATCACGGTCAGCGATAATCCCTAAACGTGCCCAATTCAGGGGCTGACACTCAAATTTTAATATATGACTATTATGTTGAAAAACTACTAAGAAAGGAAAATAATGGAATTGAAAACCTTTCGATACAAAATATGGATGAACCTTGATCTACAAACCTAATCATAACGAGACTCTATAAAGTACGAGTGTAACGTCAAGTGCAAACATGAAATAGACTAAAATAACCCACAAAATACGGCTTCACAACAGAAAATGGGACATAGCTGCAGTACAGCTGTACCTCTTACTTTTCCCTTTTGTCGAGAATTTTTCCGGTACCTTAAGTAAACAAGTGTTGGGACCTGAGGAGACCATACATAGTGCGTCTCAGTCAAATCTTGAAAACTGGAATAGTAAGTGACAAGAAATAATTACTCTCGACATATCGTAAAGAACGTAAATGCAACTTCACCTGAGAAACGGGTTCTGAAAGGTAATTAAAGCAAAGCCTGCGTGAAGTTCCCAAAACTCCCGGCCGTTATGCGACGCTTCCTCATGCCAACCAAAAATAAATAAACAAACCATCAAACAAGATCTGGACAGCAAAAGAATTTTGATACCTTTGTCTTCATTTGTAATCTCTCGATAAGCGTTGTTTAAATTATTTTGGGGTGATTTTTGATCGTCAAGGGGACATTACAAGTTTGGTTTGAAAGGACTCAATGATTTCAGCTATTTCAGCTCTGTTTAGGAACAACCTGTTAACTTAGAAAAGATGCATGAAAAACGAGTAAGGGTAATCTGAGTGAGCAATCTCAGACTCTTGTAAAGTGATTCAAATTTTGGTGCAAGTTTACAACAAAAATGATCAGTCATTCGGACCAGCTTTCGAGTTCTAGTATGCCCTGCTATGGTAAATTTATACGCCAAAGTTAATGATAGTTATGGTAATAAAATAATATTAGGAATAACTAAATCCTCAATTTGTCTTATATGCTGTTCTTTGGCATCTTATTCAGCTGCATGCCCTGTTGGAATGGTGGAACAATTTTGGACCAACTCCCCTCCTACTGTCGATGTTTTTTCCTCATAATTTACATGTTCTGGGTGTGGTGTTGCAGAGGGTGTGATTGCCAAATCCCTGCTGCAAAAGACTGAAAAGACACCGAAACTGAATGCATACATGAAACCATAAGCAGTCCTGGAGATATCCATTTCAGGATATAAGTAACGTGCGTTGTGATTGGTTGAGATCAAAACCAAAACAACGTTAATCTGCCGAGAGCTACTGGAGATGAGTCATGAGTAGAAGTGAAACATTTTTTATTGCCGCCACTTGTAATGCGGCTATCGGCCAAAACGAAATTAAGTAGTTCGAAATCACTCCACGGAAAGATAGCATAAATAAAATAAGTTATTCAGCAAACGCTCTTGCACTCTGGAAGAGTGGAGCGAACATATTACTTCAGATGGAGGCTAAGGCTGTAAAAAATGAGTCGTGACTTCTTTAATTCAGCGGTCATGGCGAACTCGAAAATGAACTATTACAAAGAGCAAAGGAAATGACCTGTAAATGTCACACAAACAACAGCAAAGATAAGACTGATTCGCTCAGTTAAAGTTTGGAATCCTCCACAGCTTAATCTACGGATTTTGGATTTAAGAACTAATACAAATTTGCGACGCCTTGCAACACGCACAATTCACGAACAAATAAGGCGCGTAATATCGGCGTCATTTTCGATAACACCGTAACGATGTCTTTTCATGTTAACAACATAGTTAAAGTGGTATTCTACCACCTTAGAAATATAGCTGAGATTCGTAAGTATATGAATGTCACAACGGCTGAAGTTCTTGTGAACGCATTCATAAATTCGAAGCTGGATTTCTGCAACTCGCTTTTACATGGTCTTTCCAAGTATGAAATTAACAAACTGCAAAGTGTCCAAAACGCTGCAGCGCGCGTGATTGCCTGCTTACGTAAGTTTGATCACATAAGTGATACTCTAAAGGAGTTGCACTGGCTACCGGTGGAGCAAAGAATAATCTTTAAGATTAATCTTATTTGTTTTAAGATACTCTTCAATTTAGCCCCGGATTATTTGGTTGACCTAATCCCTGTTTTTTTAAGGGCTTTTTCAGTCATTGCCCCTATACCCTGGAACGATTTGCCTATTGACATTAGATCGCTCGATGATGTAAATAAGTTTAAATCTAAATTGAAGACCTTTCTTTTTAAGGGAGTTGACTAACTATCTTAGGTTTTTTATTTTGTATTTTTGTAACCATGTATATATATATGTAAATGATTTTAGGATTTTTATTTTTTATCCAGACCTTTTTGAAGCATTGTAAAGCGCTTAGCACTGAAAAGTATAGGCGCTATATAAATATTTATTATTATTATTATTATTATTATTATTATTATTATTATTAACAATTCCAAATTAAACGAAACCAAGGATCAGTTTAGAATACGATCCACGAAACGCTCACACATTGAACCAGTAATGGCCCCGAAATTACACACGTCAGAGATTTTCAAAGGCCTTACATATGTTTGTTTGAATAAACAACAACCAAATTTACTCTAGTATCTAGGAGCAATTTTTTCAAAACCAGAAAAAATTATTACGCACCTGAAATTTGCAAGAATTCAAAGACCACTCCACTCAGAATGCATGAAAATCACAACTGTTTACATCACGTTCGGCAGATCTTTCTCTGCGTTGTAGAGACGCACGCCATCTTTCTTTGTTTCACATGTTCCTCTGATGGTCCTTTGCAAATAACGCGTGGTCTCATGGGATTTGAAAGGAAACAAAATAATGGCGGCCCAAAAGCGTTGCAAATACTGATTTTTCTTTGAAGGTCCAAGATGGAATTATCAGTGACCTCATCATATATCCAGAAATGGACATCTCCCGGACTGATAAGAAAAATGTTAATAAAGATGTTAAATTTCATTGTTTTTCAGTGGATAAAGCCTCAAAAAATGAGGCACTAACTTAAAGTACAAAAAATTGGACACCTGTATAGAATTTTAAAGGGACTCATTTTCAAAGTGATCAAAATATCTCGAAACAAAATTACAAGACATTCCTTGCAAAAAAACTAATACAAATTCACCACGACTAACAAATTCGAATTTTAAACTTCAATTGGACATGACAGGCTAAGTTAGCTTAATTCAAACTCGTTCCGACTGTAAGAAAACAAGACAGTCTATTTTCTGCAACTGACTCAACATTGCTTTACTTTCAAGTGCTACTTTTCTTCGTGAACTTCGCCCTCGCAAGGCAATTCATTGCATATAGCCCCTACATACATACATTCATTCAGAATAATTTAAAAGTGGGAAAAGGAAAATCAAGCATTACTAAGAAAAAAAAACATTAAAAAAAATCTAGGCCTAAAATTATGAGTGCAGATGTGGACCAGCTACAGCGAAAGTTAAGTCCTCTGAGACCTCACGTGATTTGAATGGATATCTAGAACCTCTGACGTATCTGTGTACAGTTCTTAATATAGCAAATGAAAGCTGAATTCGAAGCCAGGAAATAACGCTGGCGTAGTGTTCATTGTTCTTAGTCGAAAGCTTATTTGCGAGAGTTCTTAAAAAGTTTTTACAGTCGAGTCCCATGCCCCCGTTTGTACCAAACACCAGTGGTGTGTAAAAGTTCCCATCTCTACATCCATCACTCTCTGGTTGTATTTCCTCTTCTTCTCGTTTTCTTGCTCTTTGAAGACCGTAGCTGTGTACTTGCCCTGGTTGGACCGGGAGTTAACATGCGTTACGCGTACGTCAAAGAATGCCGTTACTCCTGGTGTCCAAAAACCTCCTGCTTTCATATCCAGCCTCGCAGTCTCGACTTGTAACAGTGGACTGAAGGTTGAATACTTCATTGTCGAGTGGTTGCAGGAGTGGCTCTGTCTCCACGTTTCTGCACACTTTACTGATGTGTGATGTCAGAAGATCTCGGATTACATGACAACGCATGGTTGACAGTAAACATTTCTCCACAAGCACAGTAATTAGGGAGTTTCGGCAGAGGGAGGTTGTAGCGAAGGCAAAGGGAGTCCCTAAACTCCTGCTTGTTCAAATCCAGTCCGTGTTCTTCGATTGGAATAGCGTTCAGCCACGAGCTGACTCCCTTGTCCCTTGTCCGCTGCACCGCTTGGAGTAGATCAGGAGATCAGGATTCGTCAATCCTGTCAATCCGGGACTTTGCAGCGGCTCTCCTTTTAGCATTGATTTCACACTTCCTTTCCTCCATCAGCTCTCGTGCTGGAATGGTGGAGCTTTGATATTTAATATTGAATTGACCTTTGATATCTAATATTGAATGGACGTTTTTAACTCGTTTAGGAATTTAAAATAGCATTCATTGAAGTAGACGCAGGTTAACTTGGTACTGTTGTAGTTCTGAAAAATGTGTATCTATATTAACGATTTGAGAACAACGCAAGAAAATAAAATTTTAAAGTGTCCTTCTTTGTTCTTGAAGCCGTCATGTTTTTTTTTTAGGCCTCGGATAAAGGCAACTTCCCGCGGTCTTAGGCTGTTTCCTAAATCTGGCTAAATTAAATGGCTCTCTACATCATTATTACTTATTTTTTTGTTTATATCTCATAGGAGGATTGACAGGCTCTGCTATTGTGGGAAATGATGTTAGCTACTTAACATATTTGAGCACTTTGCTCAAACCAGTCTCAAGCAAATCTTCACAATGGAGGCGCTGTTGGCGGGCGTCCGTGGACGGCTGGGCTGCCAGTACTTTTCACAGCCGATGCGACCATAAAGGAGCAACTGTCACAATAATAAGAGTCGGGGGAAAGTACATATTTGGAGGGTATACCAGCGTCTCTTGGGGTAAGTGGAAGGATTTTCTAAACCTGAGCGTGATAGCATGTAAAATTGTGTAAGGAAGAATTTGTAATGGGTATATATTTTTTTTTACTTCAAATTTGCAATCACTTTCGTTACGGCTTACCATCAGACATTTGTGAATTATTAGGAGCTTAAGCAACCACGACGGGGAGGCCAGCGAAAACATCACTTAGAGCCTGTTTAGGTGAGGTAACCCGCCTACAATGCAGGTGGGATAAAAAAATAACCATCGTTTACGTGCAATTAACCTTACAACCCCACTATCCCGGGGTGCACTTTCTCAAGAATATTGAATGGTCGGTAAGCATGTAAATAAGAAAAATGCTGGCAAACCACGTGTTTTAGGGATTAGTGCACTACTACACTCACTTGCTGCACTTACTGCATCCTTCAGTGCTGTGGCTTTCTATTGTTACCTTTATGATGCAAAGCCACCGTCAAAGTGTGATTTTGCGCGAATTTGATGTATCATGAATCCGACCGCCGGCTTGAAGGGTCACTTCACCTATCATGTACCACCCCCCAACAGGTCCTTAAAAATTGCATTCAGGCTGCGTTTCAAACTTTGTTCCTAGCATCGCCCTTATTCCATGTCGTTCAATTTGCCAAATGCTGGCAAAGTTCTTTTTTCGGGATTAAATTCCAAAGGTCCCTGTCAAAATTTAGAAAAAGAAATAAAAATCGTTGTTCTTACGTTCTTTACGTTTCACGTCGTAGTCGTGCAACGTCATGGTAAATAATTTACGTTCCGACTCGTTGCGGTAGCTGTCATCGTTGACGGCCTTGACGGACAACGATCAATTAAAATAAATAAGGAGGGGAACGGAATTTTTTAAGCTCAGTTTTTTTAAAATTCCCCGTATGTCTCTTATTATCCTTTTTTTTTCCATCACAACGTAATGCACAAGTTTTTGTTTTCTCTTGTTGCAACAAATTTGGAATATGGAGCAGGAGAAAGACAGAGAAAAAGAGAAAGTAGGCGGTAGGCCAGCGAAGCTCAACGAGAAAAAGGGCAACAGAGGTCTAGAGCGAGAGATAAAAACAGAGGAGACATTTTTTTTGTTGGAGGAACAGCATGAAAATTTTGTAGCGACGGTGACAAATAACAAAAACAAAAAAACACAAATTTGGATATATAATATGTGTCACTAAAACATTTCTTAACAAAACAAAACGTGCATAACGTTGTTCGGACAACAACAACAAAAAAGGACTAAATTTCCTTAAATTAAAAGAAAATTAGAGAAAACAAACTAAACCAAAAAATAGGGTGAACTACGCGAAAAAATCAGCGTGCTTTGCGTCACCTATTTCACGCTTGCCTCCTCTAAATCGCCATGTTTCCTCACACAGGAGCCTGATCTTCAAACGGGTTCATAATACAAATCAACTTTCGCTCTGCCTTGACTCTGGTCGACTCTGCCATAGCGGACAGTTCAGAGAGTGATTGTGAACTGCAGACACCTGCAGAAGCCCTTTTTTGATATCAAAAGCTAAGCTACTGTTACACTAGTGGTCTTCTGTTACACAATTTCCTCTCGGTTTTGTGTGAATCGGTCTTGTTTAATGAGGGTTTTTCTACAGAAATTCATTTTCAAGCAATATGCCGCACCCTCAACGGAGTCATTTTTCTGGCCTTCGTTCCATTTTCACAGTTTTACGAAAAGCTTCCATCAACATATAAAAAATGCTGATCTGGTGTAGACATAGCTAAAAAAATTATATAGTCTTCTTAAGAAGCAGCTTGGTTTTTTTCAGATTTGTAATAATTAAACATCTTTCCATGTAGAAAAAACATGTTTGGTTGCTGCTTCGCAGATAGACGGGAGCGGGCCAAATAATTCGAATATTATATAAATTATTTTCGATTCCGATATCTGCCCTTCACGCTTTTAAAAATCAGTTTTAAGTTGCTCGATACAGACGTTCTAAAAACTCACTGAGGATATGTTTTCGAAACTATTTTGCTAGCAGAAAAATTCGAAACAAAAACAAATGAAACAGAAAGTAGCCTTCATTAATGCGTTTCCAGGTGACACTTTTTTGGGGGAGTTTAATTTTGCAGATTATTTTTACACCTTTTCGGGAAATAATTTTTGCGATTGATCAAGAAGTCTGTTTTTTTCTTTTCAATCTGCAGTATATTTTGCAATTTTAAAAATTGGAACTCATTATTCGTGCACTTATAAATTCCCAAAGGGTAGAACTTGTAAAAAATAAATCCACATGATAGGCGGATCAGGCGGAGTTGATTGGCATCTGCCAAATCGGAACGTTCGGCCTTTTTTCTGGTTGATACTGCAATTTTTTCTGTCTTGAGCCGCTCAAACAAATAAGTCTTGAATTGATTGCCCCGAGAATATTCTTTCTGTAAGTTGAGTACACTATATCCAGTGAGAGCAAAGAAATCATGCCTCCCCTTCTTAGCGTGATAACAATGAAATTCCTAATAAAGTAAATGTTGAAAAAAATAGCGATCACTCCCGAAAGTAAAGACAGACTGCTTCGTGAATTACACCGCTTTAGGATGCTGGTATGGTAACATTCTGCATTCTGCAGAGTGATTGCAGGGACCACTGGCTCCTTATTTGGTAAAGAGAAGAATATTAAACGGGGCCAGTGCAAAATAAGCGAACCTTTGTTAGCCGATTTTTTGAGCTGTTTACCTTGCCTGCAAACCTTAAGCTAAACACTCAAAGGAGAAGTGCACCAAGTATGTGTGCATTTAAGGAGGAGGAACGGAGCGTCCTTATTTCTGTGACATTAATGAAAGGAATTACAGGGTACAAAATAACTGTGTCAACTATTGGCATCACTGTATGTAAGTGAAGGGTTCAACCATGTGACAGCGACTTGAAAGAAAGATTTCTTTCCTTAATTGTTTGTTTGATTATTTTGTTATTTTTTTTTTTGCCATCCACATTTCTCGTTTTTTTCTTCTTACTTTTTTTGTTATTCGCATTTTTTTTTCCATCCGCAATTTTCCATCCGCATTTTCCCATCCGCATCCGCCATCCGCAGGTATCTGGTCCGCGATTTACAGACACCCGTAACCAAGAAGTTTCTGGAAGTTTCACGTTGTAGTGGTGCAAAACAATGGCAAAAAATGTATAAAAAAAGCGTGCTGTACGTGCAAAGTTGCTATTTTTGCTAATTAGACCGATTGTTATTTTTCACCGTTCTCCGGCGTTGCCTTCTCGCTTAGCACTACACGATTTTATATTTTGTTTGAACAAACCAGGGGCGGATCTAGGGGAGGGTGCACGGGGTGCGCACCCCCCCTGAGATGACCAGCGGTTTTCTAATACAAGTTGTATTCTGCAAAAAAAAAAAAAAACTATGTGGTTTATTGGTGTTGAAGTAGAGCAAGAGACGAGTACACCTCCTCCTAAAAAAATTCTGTATCCGCCTCTGCAAACTATAAATATTATCGAGAGCTTCGCTTTTAGCCCTGGCTAAATCTATATTCTATTTATATTTACCACTAAAACTCTGGAAGGAAATAACAACGGACAATTTTAACAAAGCTCACACGAAGGGTTCTCGCTTTCCCTTCAGTGAAAACTGTGACAATTTGTCCTGCGACTTGCTAAGGGAAAGATGCAAATAGTGGACAAAAATTGCAATGCAAATTCCAACCCTGGAGTTTGGGTCGTCAAAATGTAAATTAATGACAATATTCGCTCTGAATCAGTGTACTATTCATGCTATTCATGGAGGTATGTATGGTCCGCATTAGTTTGGAAAAATTAGCATAACGTCAAAAGAGTAAATGTAAAGCTGAATTTTTGGCCGGTTTGTACGCTAGTAGGTTTGTCTTGAAATTTCACGGTGTTGCAGTAAATCAATCTCAATGAAAGTTTCAGACATTATTGAAGATTATTTGATGAGGTTTAAAAAGAATTCTGTCGAGCCGTTCTATAGAGAGATACAGAAAAGCGCTTAAACAGGTGGTCCAAAATTTCCAAGCAGCAAAATATGATATTAAACAACATTCTGATCCTACTTAAGACAAATTTATATTATTTACAACCTTTTTTATTAAACAATTTATCCCGACTATTGAAAATATAAGGTTTGTAATATATTTACGTATTATTTGAAATCAAATATACAAAATTTTTCATTTCTTACGGAGGTTATTTGCTAAACACCACAAGTTCCTGGTGTCGGATTTTCAGTAGCAGGCCTAAATCGCTGAAAATTCGGCTATTATTGATTTCATTTTTTTGTCTATTGTTGCCAAAGTGATATCGATTTTTCTTAAAAAGTCCAAAGTCAGTAAGTGTTGAAAATTTCATAGCCATCGGACTTTTAAGGCGATTCAAAAATATCGGTATGGTCTCCGAAAAAACTGTATCGAAACACCTTGAGTGACAACCCCATAGAGGGGACACAAAATTTAATCCGGGAAAGACGTCCACATGATCTTTATATCTGTTACCTATATTGAAGGAACACCTCTATTTAAGGGAAACGGACAGGTTTTCTTGGTCCTGAAACTTGGGTTTAACCTCCATTCAGGGGACACCTTAGCACTCAAAACGTGACTGACCACAAAGAAGGTTGATATCTTTAAGTGTACACTAATGACCATGATGGTAGCTTTCACAAACTGAACTATCTCACTTACATGGATATACTGCAATATTTTTTCGTCTTAGCTTTTTAAATAAGAAGCAGTTTCTTCCTTCCAAAAGTAAATACTTAAGTAAGAATAAAATTAGTATTAAAATAACACTTTTCATCGATCTTTGCTAAGGAACTTAAACTACTATTATTAGTTATAAGTATATTTTCTTGTGTGTATGAATTCGAATTTTTGAACGAAGTCTGTGCATTAGTCATCTTTTTCATTTCTTATTTTCCCAACAGGTTCCAGCTGCCAGTATCGATATGATTCCCAGGCATTCCTTTTCTCGCTGGTGAACAAGCCAGGATGGGCACCTCTGAAACTGCCTCAGACAGGGACATATAGTTATAACAGTCATTCAATATACGACTGCTCGTCTCATGGACCTACTTTCGGTGCAGGCCAAGACATTTAAATTGCCGACTACGCGTCATCCAGTAGCAGTTCCTATACTTACCTTGGCTGGACTTACAGCGCACCAAGTGGGTACAGCCATGGAAGCACCTTCACCCAGACATTTCTGGCAGGCACTTATCAGTTTACTCCCGACGAAGTAGAAACATTTTACGAAACAACCTAAAAACTGAGGCATCGTATTCAGCTTTAAACGTGACAGTCATTTAATATAACACTGATTAAGCCAGGATAATATTTTTTTATAAACCAGGCAGTGAAAAAAGAAATACATTTTAATTTGTCAATTCAATATCGAGACCTGTATGTTACAGTATAAAACTTGTACCACCTTATTAAACTGATCTTTAATATAACCAAATGTTCTTTATTTATTTCTTTTCAAACATTTCTCCTCGTCTAATTTGCAAACTATACACCTGTCGCGTTTTTTACATTGAGTAGTCTAGTCAAATTTGGCATTTTAAGCCTACATTATTTTGCATATTCCGTTTTATGTTTTACCTAGTTTTCTTGATGTCGAAGGACTATTAAATTGATAGTTTGTAACCACTGGTGCGAGCGCTAGGTGAATATGATGCTATCCCCCTACTGTGGTGCTACGGCTGAAACTGATGTAACTCGAAAAATTTTTGAGAGGCTTATGAGCATGGGATTAGTTATCCTAGCAAAGAAGAAATTCATTTTGGCAAATCCTAATTAAAGAATTATAGTTCAAAATAGACCTGCATTAACAGCACCGTAGACCGATAGACCATAGGTCAAATTAGGGATAACGATTTTGAAACAGATCGTCTAATTCTGTCTGAGTATAACCCTCCTTCCTTAACGATCTCAGTATAAAAAGACATTTATTAGCTTTAATTGGCTTATGCCCTACATGTGTAGTAAATCGGCAATCTTCTTGGAAAGTAACAACACTAATGGAGAGGGCTCTGCTTTGCGAAATACCTGACAAGAGAAGAAAAACCTGTGTACAATGCCTTTTTTTCTTAGAAATAGAAGTTGAACAATTTTTGATGTCCGCCATTTGTAATGCGGCAATCAGCCGAAACAGGATTAAGTACCAAAAAAACACTACAAGGAAAGATAGAATCAAATACAATTCATTCATTCAAACATTCAGCGTACATAGCCTGCGTGGTAGGCATAAAAAGGGGAGGGGGAGAGGGGAGGGAGAAAAGCGCGAAAGGGTAAAAGGAAGGGAGCGCCGTCTCCTCCCTCTCTCCCCAATCCCCCTACCTTTTTCCCTTCTTCCCTATCCCCTACCCCTTTCGACACCTGCTACGCAGGCCACAACATACACCGAGTCAGGTACTTTCGCCGACTCTGGAAGAGTGGAGCAGATTCTTTCCAAAACAGGTTCATCATATAAACTTCCCACTCCAGGTCCCCCTCACAGAGCAAAAGAAAACTGAGGTAAAACAGCATCTCATCAGAGACGAATTCCTGTCAAACCCAATAAAACAAAAAAATAATTGATCATTGAAACAGGTCAACTTTCGTCTCTGTTTCCGTCTCCTCGAGTGACAAACTTCCTAGATAGACGTCTTAAAGGACTGATTGCATTGTTAAAGCCGTCCAGTGAGCGGTGAAGAGGGGCACAAAGTGCCGAGAAAAAAGTCTCTTTATTAGACGCTACATTACCTTTTGCAGTTTTCCGGAGCTCTAGATAATTTTACCAGGTTTGTATCAAGTTCACGTGAGGGTTTGATTGGTCAAGTTCATACACTTCGATTCTCAGTAAAAAGTAAGGCGATTTGCACCTTCAACTGCAAAATTTGACGGCAATTAAGGTCACAAGTAACTCCTCTGCGCTCTCTGTTTCTTCGGGTAATCGTGTGAGGAATTTTGATAAATAATAGGCCATTTCCGAGTTGCTCCAAGCCTCTGTTTCAAAGCGAAGCCAAGTGCCGGAAGCTAATGATATGAAGACAACTTTTTAATTCTCATGCAAATAAAAACTCTGGTGCACAGTAAAGGTTTCGCACCGGTTACTCGGTTATTCGGTTTCAGTGTGAAGTTTGCCTCTTTTCTCCAGCCATCGTCCACTTGTCGAGCTTCTGATGCTTTGGAAACCTACAAAATCATCCTGTTTCCTTGAAGATATACGCGTCCCTTTTGATTGCAAACAGCAAATCGCTACTAAACATTAAAAGCAGAAGACATCCCACTTAATTGTATTTAAAAAGAAGTCCGTAGAAAGTTATTTTAGGTGGAATCCGTGCTAAACACTCTGCAAGTTTACTGAAAGTCTTCATTTGCAATTTTTGTTTATCCTCCAACGCCTCGCTTTCATGACTAGGCACCAGTTTTTTCCCGCGTGTCCGCCATTTGTGAATACGGTGTATAAAGCGGCAAATTGATACTACCTCGAAATCTCTAAAGCTCCAGAAAGGTTAAAAATTTCTGGATAATCGTTAAACTCGCGTAAGATATGCGGAGTCTTTTTTTTAACCAACTTTCCTACGTTTTGCGGAGATTTTTGACAGTTCATATTTATTACTAAGATATCGTGATTATTGTTCAAAAAAAGTCTTCTGAAAATTTCAATATAACAAAACGTCACTTATGAAAGGACTGTTACTCCATATCCTCGAACTTAGTCTTCCGGACCCATCAGGATAACCATCTAAATTAAAGCGTTCGAGACCACCAAAGTCCCCTTTTAAGGCATCGGAACAGATCAAAAGTTTTTAGGGCAGCTTCAAATTAATCAAACAGGCTTCTACATCAAAGAGAAAACCATCTGAAACAAATCTGACGAATTTAACAATAAAAATGGTCGTTGGTTGCCCACATGTCATCATTAACACCTGAAAGCCCTGCAAGATCCATCTGTACATGTCGGTTGGTACCAAGTGAATGTTGCTTTGAAAGAGCTCTAAATGTGTTTGAAATAATTGTTGAATGTAAGATTACAAGGACTGCAAAACAGTAAAAGAAATCACATTTTTATGCCTCGGGCTGTTCCACCGTACTCGGATGATACAGCTTTTTAAAGGTTATTGTAGGGGTTATAGATGAAACCTGTGAAGTTGATTTTGAGCTAAGAACAAAATCATCAATTAATTAACGTTCTAGTCAAATGTTTAGTACATGGATTAAGGTTTTGTCCTGCAAATAATCACACCAAAGAGAGACTAAGGGTTAAAAACTATTTCATCACTCATTTTCCAGACACATGTCAGTCCTTCATCAGTAATAAATTAGTTACAGTGGAACCCCGCTAATCCGACCACCGTTGGGCCATAAACTCCAGGTCGCACTAACGAGGTGGTCGCATTAACGGGGTTCCACTGTTACGAAATACCTCAGTGATTCTTACGTTTGGGTCGAAAGAATAATGTTCGTGTAAACAAGGTGGTCGTATAAACAGAGTGATCGCAAGGCGAGGTTCCACTATAGTGCTTGCTACTGTGCTGCAACCGATTATATTAAATTATTTTATAGTTTTATAAATTTGAGTATATGTTCAATATGTAATATGCGTAATAAAAGAAGACCTGTTTTGGTTCAGCAAGGATAAAATACTTGACAGATCTTAGCAAGGATTAAGGAGCACAAAATACCCTACACAATTAACCCTTTTGGTTGTGTTCTGATCTTACATGTATACAAGCCAAAAATAACTGACTTCCTTATTTGACGTGCTTTGCCCCTATTATCCTGTTAACCAACCAAAGAGAGGTTCTGTAAGTCAGGGTGAGTGCTTTTTTCATTTGAGATGTTCATGCCTAGATGAATAGAGGCTTCATCATATTTTTGTGGAGATGCTAACAACGTTGCGGGAGTTTTTTGACCAGATACACGGTTGGTCTGGCCTGCATGCCGAAACTGCTAACAACGCTATGTGCCACAGTCATTATGATTTCGTTCTAGCAGCTAAGGCCATCCTCTTTTTTTTCTCCTTTTAGCGTCGTCCGACCGACCCAAATTTTTGGCATTTAAAAAAAAAAAAAGTAACGACGTAGTTGAACCATTTTACACTTGAAATAATTCTGTTAATCTGAAAAATGAGCATAGTAACAGCAAAGAGAACAACAGGAACTTTTTACAGTATATAATTGTGCCTTTTATTAATCCAAATATGTGAATGTTAACTTTTACCGTGGTCCTGGGGTACCAGGGCTCACTATTCCGAGACTTATTGTGATTTTTTTTTGTTTTTTTTTTTTCCAATCCGACCGACTTTCTTTTACTGTTTCCTAGTTAAAAAGCATTTTATTGCATTAGTTAGGAAGCAAATGTGCAATTTTTTTCTTTCCAATTTTATACTGTGAACTTAAATTGACAGTTTTTGTAAATGACGTTTTCTTCCCACATTAATTAAAATAAAATAAGTATGTTTTATTGCCGTGTCATTTCAATGTTCATTTTTATTTTAAAAAATTGAAATTTTATTCATATTTTGATTGTCAGTCATAATTTTGTAAGGTGTTATGAAGCTTTTCTTCTTTTCACGGACAGTAACAGAATGACGGCGCGTGAGTGAAATGTCTGAAAATGGTTTACATAAAAGATTTTTCGATCATTTTACCGTCAGACACGTCACTTTGCCAGAATGACTTCGCCTTTTTGGAATACGTTGTATATGGTTGTTACGTTTATAATTTGTAGTTAAAATATAAAGCACATTTAGCCGTATAAATACACAGAAAGGGCAGTTTGTGTAGCCGGATTGCAAAATTATGATTCTTCGTAGGGGAAAATGTTAAATACGTTATCAACCTTCCTGGGTCTTTTCGCCAGAAGAAACAAAAAGTATTAACTGAGTATCAGATATTGTGATGTAGTTTACACGTAACGGTTCGTCGGGCCGAGTTTGCAAAGAAAACATACTCTAAACACAAAATCGGCCAAATTTACCATACGGGTAGATTGACCTATATTAAGAAATAAACTGTGAACTGGACGCAGCCAAATAGTTTCGTGAATAACAACCAGCCTTTATAAAACAATTTAATGTTTTATAAAGACTAAATATCTCATGGGGAATTAGCTTCTTAAAGGGGTGGGGGGAGGTGGGGTTCAGTGATTCAACAACAACAAGTTATTAGGTATTGCCATTTACATACATGGCATAACCTACTCTCTAAAAAGTAATTGATTAATTAACTAATTGGTTAATTCACTTTTGAAATTACATGATAGTGTCTACGATTCATAATCCCAAAAATAAAAACAGCGACTGGTTTACAAATAAATGGATCAATATTGTTAAATTGGAACAATTTTTTGATTTTACATCTAAATCGTTAAAAAATTAATATTTGTTAATGGTTTCATCAAAAAAATTGTTGCGAAGCGTATCATTTAGAGTGCAAGAAAACACATATAACGTGACATTCATTTTCAACTTCATTAGCTTGACATATGGAACAAATTCTTAAGTCTTCGGGAGTCTTTAGTGAAGTATATCTCCCTGTTTCGATACGAAGTCGATGATTTCCTAGACGAAATTCATTAATAGCAGATCTATGGAGATGATTTTTTATTGCATCTCAGTAGAAATTCGGTTCTGTTGGTATCTGTTTTAAAAGTATTGTAAAAATTAAATTTCCTGTTCGAGACAAGAATTAAGAGTTGGTGGTTGATTAAAGCCTTGGACAAATTTTGAGCGACACTGGAGATGAGAGTTTTCTCTTAACGTTGTTTTCATTTAAAATCATGCATGGAGCGTGAACTTTATTTATCACATAATATTTTAATCTATTGTGATATGCCTGTCTGATTTTTCTCAGCCATATCCTTTGAAAGTTGTAAATCAAAAGTATTAGGGAGGACGTGCTTATTTAGTAAGAGTACATTACAAGAAGATAAATGGTAAATTCAAAATAATAACTGACTGTACAATAAAGCGTAGCGGCCATTGTCCACTACATTAATTACCACTGATCAACCACCAATAAAGCGCTAGATGAATAAAGCGGTCCTAATGCACTTTCAAGAGGTTTGTACTTAATCAAAGAAGTCCAAAAACAGACAATGAGACAGTGTTTCAGGTGGTCATACTAAGCAATATTCTTTGCTTCAAAATCGATCGTGTCTTCAAATTTGATTAACTCAGTGGTGAGTGAAATTTTTACTTTTCTCGCTTTACTAGGCGCTGAAAAAATACAATTGTTAGCATCAGTGTAAAAGGTAGAGGTCAAAGCCTTTTGGCAGTGAACGTTAGATTTAAGTTAATATATATTTTTTTAAAGTTAGATAACAGTGTTGGTGGATCTCATGATTATCGAAGAAAATCAAATTTGTGAACAGAAATTTAAAAAGTCAGTGACTGTTAGCTAAGCTCGCTTATCTATAACTCATCGAATTGAAAAGGCCTTTCTTTTGAGCTTCTTTTTCAAACAAAGCGATAGGAAATGTTATGTCTTTATCTGGCCGGTAATATTACGCTTCCAACATTTAGGCTGCGGCCCTTCCAGTAGTTGCACGATACTTCCCTGTGTTTTTATCTGTTTGTTTTCCAACCGAAATTGAAAGTTTAAAGTTTAGTTTCGGGATGGGCTGTGACGCATAAAAAAGGCCCCTCAGAAAATCTCTAATTTCTGAGCTTATCATTTTGCGGTAAACAGCTATATATTTCATTAAGAAAACACACACATTTTCGGTGGACCTTCAAGAGCCGATCGAGATCAATTTTTAACAATAAGTAGCATTCATGCTTTTCATAGGATCGCAAACGTAACGATCTTTTTATTATTCACAGAACCTAAATTCTTTTGAAAGCGAAACTCCATTAATAAAACGCTGAACAATTTTACAAACTCATTGCCTAAGTAGCGGCTACTAATTTTTTATCACGAAATTAGCCTCGTTCTGGCGTTCAAATTCTAAACAGCTGGGTGTCTGTTATGTTCGTTCCGCGTGAACGGAATAACTATTTGGTCGACATTTCGTCTACTGAGTGCTGCGTGAACATAACATTTGCATAGGTCTGCATACATTTCAAGCATGCAGCTAGCAGGCAAGTTTTGTGGACTTCCAATTCTAGGCCAACTGTCATTTGACACTTTTGACGAAAGACACACTCAACTCAACAATCCAAAACATAGCACGTTTAAAATAATGAGCGATCCAATATTGTCAACAGTCATCAAGCTCTTTTTCGCTTCAAACACAGCTCAAACGAATGAAAAAGAGAAATCTAAAAAAGAAATAAGCCTGCTTTTTTTCTTTTGTCTGGTTATAAAGAGAGCTCCTATTTCTCAGATAAACACACTACAGATACATTTTGAAAATTAATTTTTTGCATTAATTGCTTTTTATCGATCTTTTTTAAAAAACGGGCTGTCTAATCCACAGAAGACAAATGGCTGCCATTTGCGGAATAGAACCCTGGATTGGAATACACAGGAACGACACAGCCGCCTACCTCAATGATATGATACTCGTAACTGTCAACGGATGTCTTGCCATATTTTCATTTCTTAGCAACCTGGTCATCATTGTCACAGTAATAAAGACGCCTTCCTTACAGAAGCCGTGCAACATTTTACTGAGTAACCTGGCCTTTGCAGATTGCCTCACGGGAGTCATCGTCCAGACCATGTTTATTGTGTGGCGACTTTTTCTTCGAAGAGCCCAGCAGTCATGTCTACATCAAGTTCTGGTGTTTGATATCTATTACACTTTACAAGTGCTCACGGTTGGTTTATCATTTGTCAACGTTATAATTATCAGTTTTGATCGCCACTATGCCCTGGACAGACCTCTGGTGTATATAACTCGCGCCACTAAAAAAGGTGGGTCTTTTACTTGAGCATTTGTATGTGTAATCAAATGGTGACGAAACGCAAGTGAAATTATTCCCTAATTTCACAAGTATACCATGTGATTACCTATAAATATCATGGGTGACGAATTACCTTAGCAATCGAGGATTTTTGACTGGTTTATCCTGGATCGTATCGATCGATCGTGAACTCCACTCTCTCAAACGTTTGGAGCTGAAATTTGGCTTAAGTTTTCAGAATTTTTCGACAACATACCTCTAAGAATCCTTCTTGATGTTCTCTTTCGTGTGTTCAGGTTTTCTAAAGCGTCTTTTTATACCCTGACATCTTCATTCATGACATTTTAAAACTTCGTCGCCATCTTGAAACGGAGACGTACGGCAGGTTGCCGGGGCAATTTAGTAATTTCACATGTAAAATTACAAATTAACGCTGAAATTTCGCGCCAAAATTAAGGAGTAATTCGTCACCTATGATATTAGATAAATAAAGTCACTTAGAAGAAAAGATATATGGACAGTTTCACTGTAAGGAACTATAGTTACCGAGGGTATTAGAGAGTTCTACCTGGTCCAGGATTAAGGCATTTAATCAAAGAGCTGGAATGTTCTGCCCAAGATCGCGCGCTCTCATTGGTTACTTGGTTGTAGACTGTTTCCCGCCAATAGTGTCTGAGTGGGTACCATTGCAAAATGTATGAAATCAGTGACCGCTTGCTGATGTTTGCTTTCAAACATTTGTTCACGTAGGTTTTTCTTTGTGTGCTATATTTCACCCAGGGAAACAAGTTAATTATGTTTCTCTTAAATCTCAATGTTTACCTCGGCTCATCCGTGTAAGTCAAAACAATAGACATTTTTTTCATTTTATAAAGTCTATGAAGGGTTTCATATACGATTCAAGAGACAATTTATTGGCTTAAAAGCACTTCTTGCAGTACCGGTGTTAAGTTTAGGAAAAGTTCGTCTCCGGGACAAACGTGGATCTTCAAATGCAATGAACTAAACTAATAAATCAAAACTTTGTACAAATGAATGATAAATATTTCGCCTCGTTCGGGTGAAAGTTCGACGTCCAATAGAAGATCTTAGCTTAATTTTGTTCGACCCAGATCTGAATTTCGTTCATCTTATGAAAAGTTCGACCTTTGGCCTTAAGGCCTTGGATACCTTTACTCAGGTATATTAAGGCCTGGGTCTGCCACTTTTTTGCGGGTAAGGGGGTATTCTATCTTTGAAAGAAAAGGTATTGTAGATTTGCAGACTTATTCATTCCATTATCTTTGTTAACATAGTATAATTGAGATTGACATCACCATGGTACCGTGTTGCGTGGCCAAGTAACGCTTCACTTCCGTATTTTTTCTTTGAGGATTCTGTAGGCAGGGTAAAAATACTATTATTGAGAATTTTTTGTGGTGTTGTTTTTACCTATCTGAAGTACTTTCCAAATTTAACTGGAATGGTGGTATGCCTACCCTTGATGAATGTTTTTCGGTTGTCACTTGACAGAAAAAATCGTTGAGATTTTACTGACCACGTGACCTGGACACGCCTTTCAGTTAGTTTCGTGTACATCCAGTAATATGTATAACACTTTCCACGCATTATTTTTTTAACATAAGTGTGAATACGTTCTCCTGCAGCTGGCCTGAAGATAAATATGGTAATTGATTATCTAAATGAGTCACGTGACCACTATTGTGACAACTTTCAATCAGACTTAACCTTTACAAAATGTTTAAGCTCTTACCTAAGTTTCCTATCAATATGTTGCATATTTACAGAGATAGACCACCCCCTTCATTTTCTTTCATGTAGTTTACGTGCCTTAATTGACCCAGTCCTTAATATACCCTTTCCATACCAGGTCTGTACGCACCGCGAGGACGGCATCGACATCGTCACAAAACAGTTGGTTTACGAGCAAAAGAACGGCTCGGCACGCGCATGCTGGTACATTTCTTGAACATTGATCGGCCGACTACGACGTGAACCTTCCTAATGCGAAGTAAGATCGAGAACGTGAAAGAAAAATTCCCTTTTAGTAAAATCACTTGTGTATTGTCATCAGTCTACATGCGGCTGCCTTTAAACTGACCTTATTTTATTCGATCCTGTTTTGCAGGAGCATTTAAAGTTGCCATCTTCACAAACATAATCTGGCTGCTATTAACAATCGTACTTCTATTTGCTTTGCCTCCTGTAAAAGGCTTCATGTTGGTGACTACTTTTGGCGTGCTGTTTCTCGTTGTTCCGCCTGTTAATTACATTCGAGCACTGCTCGCTATTCGTCGTCATAACGCTCAATTGGGTGATGCAGTTACGCTCCAGATGTCAGTAGTATTGCAGCGCGAGAAAAGAGTTGCACTCGATACGTGCATTGTTGCCGGCTTGCTGTTCGCCTCTCTGCCACCAGCTTTTGGCATGTCGATTGTTCAAAAGAGATATCCTCGGCTACACTCCGTTTTGCTTCCATGGAGTTTGACAATGACGTTTATACCGTCCTGTGCGAATCCAGTGATTTACTTTGTACGTTTTAAGAACATGAGAAATGCCTTTAAATCTATTATCAACATATAATGGAGCGGCTTTCACAGTCACCCATAAGTAGGCAAATGTTTTACATTCTCAACACATTTATTACAACTCCAACATGGCTGCTCCACGTGAAGGCTAACTACATTGATAGCATAATGTGCACGTGTGTCTAAGATCATAGAAATCTTTTAAGAGCTGACAGTAATTAAAATCAATGTTTAATGTTCATCAGCTGAGACAGATGAAAAAAAAAAGCTGTAACATGCCTTGGCCATAAGACGTAACTGTAACGAAGAACAATAGCGTTTAAATGTTCAGTTACATCTAACTTTACTCTGTAAGGGGAGGTACGTTTTTTCTTGGCGGGAGAGGGCTGGGGAATTTTCGTACTTTTTTACAAAACAAGTGTTGGCCCTCTCTTTGAATATGTTTGAATATGAATATATCTCGATATTGAATGTGTGGGCGCTGAAACAAGAAAATATAGACTTTGCGTTCCTTCAGTCTTTACAGCGATTATTCCTACCCTATTCCTTACTTTGTCAAATGTAGGCGAACCCTCCTGAAGCTGAATTTCAAGGGACCATGGCCAAGCTCAGAAAGAGAAATAAAATTTCGTCGTTGCTTGTTTACGTCCTCCATAAAACGCAAAATTAGTCATTCAGTTTCACGTCGTAGTCCTGCGAAAACAGGAAAGAAATGTACAAAAAAGCGTGATGCACGTGCAAAGTTGTTGTTCAATTGTTTTTTTGACGTTCTCGTTGCCGTCCGCGTCGTTGGATCTTAAATTCCCTAATGCGAACAATCAGTGTGGGATATTTACGTTGTATGGCTGAACTTTGAATTTGGGAGAATAAAGTTTGAGGATTTTAAAAGATTTGAAAATAAAATATAGAAGGGAAAAACACGCGCTTCTTTCTCCGACAAGCCGGCATCGCCTTTGGTTGTTTTAATTAAAAGGTTTGTTTGTTTTTTAATAGCATGCGAAATCTGGCTCTCAAAAACAAATATTTCCTACATGTTCGAATTCTGTTAAAGGCAGGCAGGCGTCTGTAGGAAAGGGAAACTTCTCGCACGTTATTGAAGCATCATTGAAGCGTGCGCAAAGAAAGCAACAGGAATGCAATGACATTGACTGGAAGATCTCTATCACAGAAACCAGTTGTCATCCCTTACAGTAGGTGAACTTGAACTTAACATTAATCACCATAATATTTGTATTTAAAAGAAAGAAATGTGAGAAAGTGAGAGTGGTGAAGGCACATATTGGTAGTAAGATTATGACTTTTATTGTGCAAGACAGACAGCAAACATTCAGCCAGCTGCCTCTAACTCTTCTAACTCAAATTCAGAGTCTGTCACGAACAGTTACAGGGTAAAGCGCATTGTTAGACCTACCAATAGTAACTTTTTGGAACTAAACGCCGCAAGAGACCAGGCAGCGGATAGTTAACAGGAGCAAGAAGCTGCAGAAACGATACCTGAGTCTCGATACGGAAGGAAAAGGACACGAGTCCTTCGAGAAAACTATGTGCCATGACATAATATACATGGAGAAATGTAACCTAGTACCTATAATAAATCACCAAATTAAGTCAAAGTAGGTGAAAAGAACCGGTCGGATGCAACGCGTCTTCCTGCGTGGTACTTGCTCGTCCTGGTCTCCACTTTTATCTGAAGTACCACAAGGAACAATCCTCGGACCCGTCTTATTCATTTTATACGTGAATGACATTTCGTCAGGTATTTCATCAACGGTTAAACTGTATGCAGATGATACCAAGGTTTACAAAGAGATCTCCGACATAGCTAGAGACACAAGCATCCTTCCGGTCCGACTTATTCCACCTTAGAAATTGGTCTGAGGTCTGGCAGTGAAACTTCAATGCGAAGAAATTTGAAATTATGCGAGTTACACATAATCGTGATAAATCTGTCCCACATTACTCCCTCGTCCCGCGTGGAGAACGTCTAAGTTCAGTGAGTTCTGTAAAGGTCCTCGGCATCACAATCTCGCATGACCTCTCGTGGTCTTTATATACACGTTGTTGAGGTTGTCAATAAGGCCAATAAAGTTCTTGGTCTGATCAAGCGAACAATTGGTTCTGTAAACAAGGAAATCTTTTCTACACTGTACAAGGCTCTTGTGAGACCAATCCTCGAGTATGCTTCCCCTGTATGGTGCCCTTACCTAGTTAAGAATCTTGTTCTCTTAGAGAAAGTTAAGAGAAGAGCTTCTCGATTGGCCTTAGGTGGAGAGATGTCATACGAAGATCGCTGCGCAATGTTACGGTGGTCGCAGTTGACTGATAGAAGGCTATATTTTTCTTTGATTGAATGCTATAAACTTGTATTCGGACTGAATAGCCTTTGTTTTTCCAATTTTTTTGAGTTCGCTTCAAAACGTACCAGGTCCAATCACAACTACAAACTGCAAGTTAAATCGGCTAACTGCAGTTGTTATAGATACTCTTTCTTTGTTAAAATTATTCGTGAATGGAATGACCTGCCCGCCAATGTTGTTGAGATAGGAAATTTAAGACGTTTTAAAATAGCTCTTAAATTGTACATGCGTATTTCTTAGGTTTTTATCCATCTTAGATCTTAGATTTTAGTCATAAGCATATATTTTTAATTTTTATTTTTGGAAGTTTATTTACATAGGGTCAACCTCTTAAACTTCCTTTTTAGGGTATTATTTGTATCGTTTATTTCTTATGATACCTTAAATAAAGTATGTATGTATGTATGTATGCAAAAGAAAAACTTAATCTGTAAGAAGAATGTAAAGCAACGTCACAAAAAACCTCATTAAAAAATTCTGGAAAAGATGCGTGACCCTCCCCTTGAATAGCTCACAAAAAGGTATGGCCCTCCCCTTTGGTGATTCAAGCATGGGCGGAAGAGCCCCTGGGTATCGACTCTCACCGGACCATTTCCAAACGGTCAAGAGAATGCTGGTTCCTGATTGGGCACAAAAAATCCGTTGTATTATTGTGCCCAATCGGCGAACAGCATCTCCTGAGTTCTTTTCGTGAGTTCGTACACGACGGCTATTATCTCGCCACAATTGCCCGGCTAGTTCACCAAGCTTTCCTAACCAGAAACGAAAGAACTACCAATGAGTTGAAAAACGTTTCGGATGCTATCAGCAGGAGCAATTTAATTTGCACTGAGAAAATTCTTTTTTTGACGGATCACAATGGATCGTAAATAATAGGAGTTTAAGATGAAGCGGCGACGAGAAAGTAAAAAAAGCAATAGCTTGGCAAGGCAAAACAACAACTTTGCACGTGCATCACGCTTTTTTGCATATTTCTTTGCCGTCACTGCACGACTAGCACGTGAAAATGCCTAATTTCACGTTTGGTGAAGGACGTAAACAAGCAATGACAAAATTTTCTTTCTCTTTATGAACTTGGATATGGTTGATAGAAATTCAGGTCCAGAAGAGTTCGCTTGCATTTGACAAAGTAAGTGAGTTGGAATAATCACAATAGAGACTGAAAAAATGTGAGTTCACTCTTCATGCGACGTTTTCGCCGTTGTCAGCTGTCGTGGCATGTTACACTCCCTAATATTTACGAAGGCGTGATCGATGCAAGCGTGAATACCTGTTGTAAGCTCAAGCTTGTATTTTTGGAAAAACGTCCTTAGTTTTCGAGTAGACAGTGGTTGTGTTTACAACAGGCTGTTAAGTAAGACTTAAGAGCTGCTAAGTTTTACTTAACCAAAAATGCGTGTGTGAAGGCCTCAGCAAAATCTCAATTAACTTTGCTTTGCATCTCATTAAAACCGACTTAGCGAACTTGCAGTTTCCAAGCTTTGAGAAAGGCGAAGCATGTCAATCAATCTTAATCACGTTGCGTGGGGAAACCTGAAGAAAAAAGGTAGGTTTTGTGTGAAACTTTCTTTTACTTGAAGAATTTAAAATTTACTTGTCTTGAAATATTTCCTAGCTTATTTAGGCTCTGGTGTTAAGACTACCAGTATTTTGAAATGTAGCGTTTATATGAAACCGAAAGGTTCCTGACTGCATTCATTTCTTTGGTGCATAGCCGTCGTGTACCAACTCACGAATAGAACTCAGGAGATGCTGTTCGCCGATTGGGCACAATAATACAAAGCATTTTTTGTGCCCAATCAGGAGTCAGCATTCACTTGACCGTTTGGAAATGGTCCGGTGAGAGTCGGTACCCAGGGGCTTTCCGCCCGTGCTTGAAAACTTTTGTCACGCCTTTTCCCGGTCCTACTGACCGCCCCTGGGTCTCCGAGGATGGTGTTAATGTTGTTTACATATTTTTTTTAACGGTTTAGCTAAAAGCCCAACCGTGCTTCGATCGTCTTGAATATGGGCCGAATTTATACTAGAGACGAATTATTCACCTAAACGGATTACCCGTCTCAGACGGATAAGTCGTCTCTAGTATAAATTCGGTGCTAAGACGAATTATGAAGCAAAATTCGTCTGAGGCTGATTCGTCTGTTAGCGATAATTCGTCTGTCTCTAAATTTATATCTAGATGGAACGTAGACGGTTTTTTGACGAAGTTTCCACATGAGAAGGACTGGTTTCTCTATTTTGGCAATGCTTACTGTTTCCCGGGGTTGTTTTCCCACTTAAAACATCTAGACAAATTATGGAGCAAAATTCTTCTTCGAATTTATACTTAGACGAATTATCCGTCTGACGGATAATCCGTCAGGACGGATAACTCGTCTCTAGTATAAATTCGGCCATTGGCAGAGTGCAATTTGTATTGCAAAATTGTGAAATACTGCATTCTGTCCGAGGTCTGTATGATTAAAACAGTGCCTCATAGTTCTGTTTCACCTCAGATGTAATGTATAAATGGTATAAAAGTTTGTTGGCAAGATTTTGTAAAGTAAACTTGTCGAACGCTAAAAATTCGGCCTGATTCTTTTTCCTGGCCTAATTAATCTACGGTGATGAAGATCCATTATGGCTCGCAAATGTGATTGAATATGATTACAAGTTTTTGGGTGTACATATGAGGCTATCAACTCGAAGTAAGATTTGG